CAAGCAGGGAAGGCTTGTTCGGTGACATGCTTGCCACACAAGCATGAAGCCCTGACTTTGGATTCTTAACATCCACATTTTCAAAAAGGTCAGCCTTGGTGGCACACACTGGTAATGCCAGTGCTGGAAGCAGACACAAGAGGATCCTGGGGCTCACAGCAGGCTTGGTGAGAGACCCTGTCTCAAATAATACTGTGGAGAGCAATGGAGGAAGATTCCTGACATCAACCTTTGGCTTCTATACATGCACAGCTACCTCTTTATACACATAACCTCTCTCACACACACTCACATGCACACAAAAGGAATCAATGTCTTAAGTTTAAGATAATAATAGGTAGAAGAACATTTTGGACATAATCAAGATGTGAGATAAAGAGCCAGGCATGATGGTGCACAACATTAATCCCAGAACTTGGGAGGCTGAAGCAGGTGGATCTCTGTGAGTTTGAGTCCCAGGCCAGCTAGACATGCCTAAAAAGACCCTATGTGGAAAGAAGTGGAGATGGGGTACATGAGGAAAATAGACACATGTAGAGATCTAATGAGAGGGCAGGGGTGTAACTCAGTGACAAGGTGCTTGCTGACATGCACAAGGTCCTACCTTCTGTTCTCAACATTATTATAAAAGGAAAAAACCCATACACACAACAAAATCAAAATATACTTAATAGGCATGTCAGAAAAAGTTTGTAGAAACTGACAAAGAATATTTGAAGAAATATTTCTAATATTTCCAAGAATTGAATCAGTTATTGTCATATTCTTGACATTTTAAAAATTTTCTCAGGAAAGCTCACCCTTCCTAAAGTACAGTTTGAGTTAGTAAGATCTGAAGAAAGAAGATCCCTCAGAGATATACCCAAAGTCTCATGCATATGGACAGGGAGATGTCTATGAGCATGTTAACCAAACGGCTGTTTGTTAATAGAAGAATTGGAAATTAAATGTTTCATCCTCCCAATAGCAAACTCTAGATTGTCTTTTCTTCCTGGAATACCAGAGAGGAGCTAAAATAAACTCTAGCTACATTTATCAATGATGTTTGCTAAAAACTGGAATTTTCAGGATAAGTACAGTGTAATGTAATCTATATGAATGTTAAGCATACATAATAATACTACATAAGTAGGCATATCCAAATATAATAAAAATGTAAAAATAGAGAGAGAGGTTCACTTCAGCTTCACAGTGATCACCTCTGTGAGAAAAATGGAGACGGGGCTAGGATGTGATTCTTTTTATGGAGGGCATTCTGCGGGCCATATGAAAGGCATTAAGACTCACTTATGGTCATGTGGGACTTCTGCTAAATTACTTCTGTGTTTTGAACTACTTCACTGGTAAACTTATTTAAAGTTACATCATTAGACAGACCCCAGAAGGAGAAATCTTTTCTGTGTGCTGACTGTAAATCAATGTCAAAGAAGACAATGGCAGCAGGTCAGCCTTGGACCAGCCACTCAGCCCCAAAACGCGTTTCGAGAGTGAGTTAGTGCAGATGAGCTAGATATGGATCTCAGAACTGCATTGTCAGACAAGGCAAAAGGCAAATACATTGTGGGTTTTTTGGGGGGGAGGATTGGTTTTTTTGTTTTGTTTTTGTTGTTCTCATTAGTGGATACACACATGCACACACACGCACACATGCTCACACACGTTAGCTGGAATGCAAAGACAAAATTTTTATGCCACTAACTTTTTATGAGTACAGGGAGATTATTCTCCATGGATTTCTCATATTCCTGCACAAACTGTTTCTTCTGAGCAAGGGACATGTTTGCATATCAAATAGCTTTAGGAGCTACAGCAAGTGCATTCCTGTGGAGAGAACTAGAGATGAATCCCTACATATGTCAGGGGCACCCAAGATAATACCCTCTCCTTTTTCTTCTGCAGACACATTCCAGGGTAATGGACACCCCACCCCTTAGAAGAGAAGCTGGGCGGGTGTTTCAATGTCCCTGAAAAAGGCTCTGTTTCTTCATTTCAAGGTTCCTCTCTCCTTGGTACAACATTAAATATGCACAATTAACAAAGAGCCCTCACTGTGGCATCTGATTGAATGAAAAGGAGGGAACCAATAGGACATTGCTCTGGCTGATACTTCTTCTGTGAATAACAGTCTATGTCCCTGACATGAGCTCGTTCTCTCTCTCTGTCTCTGTCTCTCTCTCTATCTCTGTCTCTCTCTCTCTCTGTGTACACTCTGTGTGTGTGTGTTCTGTGTGTGCGTGCATGCGTGTGTGCTCTCCCTCTCTGTACACTCTGTGTGTGTGTTCTCTGTGCATGTGTGCTCTCTCCCCCCCCTTCTCTCTCTCTCTCTGTGTATTCTTTCTCTCTCCCTCTGTGTGTGTGTGTTCGTGCGTGCACGTGTGCACACAAGCATGAGACACTCGGCTCTAGAGCAGGAAAACCTGTTGGCTTAAACACAATGTAAAATGTCAGCTCTTTTGCAGCTTTGCTTTAGTAGAAAAACTAGAAAAAAAATCACAACAAATATGATAAAACGATTGGTAGGAAATACTTCAGAAATATTCTTCAGAAGACATTTTACACCTCTATAAATACCATGGTTTGGGGACTGGAAAGGTGGCTTAGCTGTTGAATAAGTACAATGGCTGCTCTTCCAAAGGACCCGGGTTTGAATACCATCACCTACATGGCAGCTGTAACGGTCACTGTGGTGTCCCAGGACCACAATTGTTTGTAACTCCAGTTTCAGAGCATCTGATGATCTCTTCTGGCCTTCATGGACACCGGGCACACACATGATACACAGACATACATGCAGGCAAAACATTTATAGATTAAAAAATAAATAAATCCCTTTTCAAGCCTATGGTTTTGACAAAATTCAGAGAAGGAATGGTAAGGCAGAGCATTAACTTTCAAAGGGCATTTCAGAGGGAATTAAGATGATATTCAGCTCTTCTTCAATGTTATAAAGATAAGAAACAAGGCTCGGAATATTTAAGAATCCATTGGTTAGCAAATGCAGAACATTTTTTATATTCTTAGATATTAAGCATCACAAGGAAACCTTTTATAAATTCTGTTCTCAGGTGATAAATAATTAAAGAATCTGATTTTTTTAATGTAAAAGCCTTTAATTAATAATAGACTGCTCCATGATGGAATGTTTGTTGATTCTGGCCATCTAGCATCCACCCTTCTTGAGGACCTGCTCTCCCCACTCTACTTTCAGGCCATATGGTCTGCACAGGGCTCCAACCCCAACTCTGGGGATGAATCAGGGAACCTTCTCAGGCCAACCGATGCAGCCCACTTCCCTGATTTAAAGGCAAGCACTGGGTGTACACCATCCTCCACCAGTGAACCCAAGGAACACTGACTCGGGACTTGATTTTCTGTTGTAATTACTTGATCTTCAGAGGATGGAGACCCCCCAGACAGTTACAAGTCATATTAGATAGTCTAAGAGTCGAATGGATATAGAACAAAATGAAGACTGGCAAGAAAAAGAGGTAGGCCATTGCTTCATTATCAATGCACGTGTCTGGAATCTTAACGCTGGGCTGTTTGTATGAACTAAAAGTCTTCTCTTTTGGTTTAACCCAGTTTGAACATGGTTTCCTCTCCTCTCAGCCCAGGTGTTCAAGCCAATGCCCCTGAGGTTGAGATGCTGGTCGTGAAAGACCCTGAGTCTCCTACAGAACAAGTTCAGGTGTTTGAATCTAATCCAGATTGAAGTATCCAGAGTTCTGTGTCATAAAGTTTAAAAAAAAAAATCAGGCCTGAAAAGTTTTAGTAGTTACTTCCCTTAACAAGAAATAACAGAGGAGCTGGGCATTGGTGGCACACGCCTTTAATCCCAGCACTCAGGAGGCAGAGCCAGGCAGATCTCTGTGAGTTCGAGGCCAGCCTGGGCTACCAAGTGAGTTCCAGGAAAGGCGCAAAGCTACACAGAGAAACCCTGTCTCAAAAACAAACAAACAAACAATAAAAAAAACAAGAAATAACAGAAGCTCCATGAAGCCATGCAGAAAATATAATTAGAAATACACAGAAATATTAGTAGGTATACCTGAGTGATTTTATTGCTGAGTACACCCAACTAGCACACCAAAGTTTAGTTTAGAAACATAGCAATGTTCTGGGAGGGCAGAGCAAAGCACAACCACTTTGAAAAATCATTATAGAATTCCCCTTAGGTTTGACACAAATAGTCAATTTGCATGCTTATGTTTTCCTTGAACTGTCTGAAATGGAAAGTTTTATACAGCTCAAATAATAAGGTGGAAAGAGTACACATTATCCACCCCTCCAGATTTAAACTAGAAACTGTTCTATATTCATTCTTCTTTTCCAACTTTATCTGTTTTACATGAAGGACCCCAAATTCATTATAGTTTTATTTTTAAATTAAGGAAGTTTTAACATGTTTATTCTTTCAAAATTCTGTGCAATATAATGTATTTTGATCATAATCCCCATTTTTCTCTCCTCTCTCTCTCTCTTTCTCTCTCTCTCTCTCTCTCTCCTCTCTCTCTCTCTCTCTCTGACACCTTCTTTTCCCCAACCAGCCCCCTCCTACTTTCATGCCTTTTTGGGGGAAGGGGCAGCCCACTACTTTAATTGGGGTATTTGTATGAGCATAGGGTTGGAGCAATTTACCTGTGCCTGTATCACTCAAGAAAAATGGCTCCCCCTCCTCTCATTAACAGCTTATACCTTATGAATCCTTCCCTATTGGTGAAGGGGTATCAGTGGGCTCAGCCTTGTGCAGGTAGCCACTGCTGCTGTGAGCTCAGGGGTGAGCAGCCATGTTATGTCCCGAAGAAGGAGTTTCACAGCATCTCTTCCAATCTTCTGGCCCTCACACCACCACTCCTTCCATAATGTTCCCTGAGCCTTGAGATGGTGATGGAGACGTCCCACTTAGGGCTGAGCACTCAACAGTCATTCATTGTCAACACTTGGTCAGTTACGCATCTTTAGAAAGGCTCTACAGCTCATGTAAACGCAACACCACTTGCCTGCATGCTGTACAGAGGTTGACTCGGTGCATTCACCTCTCTCAGCAGCCGGTGAGAGATGTGCCTCAGTTCTAAGAGTCTATACGCCAGCTGTGGCTGCAGAAGTTTGGCCACTGATTTGGAAGAGCTGGATATGCTGTTTAATCCTTGAATTAATGTTCCTCGGTTGATCTGGGCTAAAGCTAGAGCCATTCTGACCTTGGAGGTTTTCTGTACTGGATCTTTTTTCTGAAAAAAATAACCTTTGAGAAGAATCTGATATATGAGTCTCTGATACATTAATAGCATATACTTGTAGCAGAAACTGAGTATACAACTATGCTGTACATGACATCTTAAATTTACTCAGCCCAATAAATACACCCTGTACAATTCACTGACACCCCTAATTAAAGCTTTCATTTGAACACATTAATTTTTCCTTAGAATAAATATCAAGAACTAAATTAATCAAAAGATATAATTGTTTCATTTCTTTCTGGGTTTATGGGTTTTTTGTTTGCTTGTGTTTTGAAACAGGGTCTCACTGTGTCCTCCTGTGTCACACTGGTTGGTATTGAATTTTCTATGTAGACCAGGTTGGCCTTGAACTCACAGAGATCTACCCATCACCACTCACCTTGAGTGCTGAGATTAAAGGCATGTGCTACTATGCCTGGTGGTCTATGGTATTTTTACCTTGATTTTAGAGGCTACTTTAAAAAATAGACAAGATCCTTCCTTCCCTCCCTTCTTCCCTCTTTCCTTCCCTCTCTTCCTTCCTTTCTCCCTCCCTCCCTTCCTTCCTCCCTTCCCTCCCTCCTTCCCTCCCTCCTTCCCTCCTTTCTTCTTTCCTTTTTTAATCCAGGGTCTTGTACATGCTAGGCAAATGCTTTACCACTGAGCTATGTCTTAGCTCTCTTTTTCTTTTTTATTCTTAGACAAGGTCTCACTAGGTAGTGCAGGTTGTATGTGAACTCATTCTGTAGCCCAATCAGGCCTTGGACTTGCAATCATACTGCCTCATTCTCCTGCATAGCTGGACTACAGCCCTGTACCTCCAGGCTCCACTCTAAACAATAATTATTATCCAAACATTACTTAATATATGAAATATTCAAGCAATAGTACTGATTTAAAACCATTACAAATAGTTTTACAAGTTTGCTTTAAGAGTTTTATTCATGAGCTAGAGTATATATAAAGGAAATTAAAACAAACGTCCTATATGCCAGTCAAGAAGCTTAAGAAAACCATACATCTCAAAACTTCAGAAATTCTAGTAATTTCCAGCAAAACAGTAGCATTATCAAAACATGTAACATGTGGTTTCTTCTGTGCTCTCCTGAGTAGTTTACCACAGAGAAACTGCATAGAGTGTGGTTAAGCTGCATTCCAGTCAACAGACCGGCAGAGTTTCATCATTAATTTAAGTAATTGGGGGTCATCTGGCCATCCTTAGGAAAAAATATTAGTTAGGCATTGGCTACAGATTAGCAACTTTGGAATCTGTAATGTTTTGTTAAACCTAAATATATACAGACAAAATACCTGTTAAATTTAATTGGTTATTTTTTTGCCTGCCATGAACATCATGTTTTTGCCTAAGAGCTAATATTTTGTATATTTACTTTAAAAGTAAATATACATCACCAGATTTCAGTATTTTTCTTACGGCTCAGCATTTTCCCCTGGAGACAGCCAGAAGCTGTTCTAGCCCACCCGTGAGGATGCATTTTTGTCGTTTTGTGTCCTGATGTAGTTTGTTCTGTTAACTTTTCTGAAAAGTTCAGTAGCCCCTGGGGGCTTCTCAGTCTCTCAGGCAGCAGTAGCAGTATATAGTGCCACCTGGACTGCTGAAACTGTCACCCTCCCAAGCCACACCAAGGAAAGCAATCTAAAGGCAGAGTGATCAGAACAACGCGAAGGCTGTCACTTGATATCGTTCTCTCCCCTGGTTGTGGTCGAAGGACAGCCAAGGGAAGCTCAGTGCCTGCAGCGCTGAAGCCCCAGCAGCCACGTGACCCGTGTGACTGCCATGCTGGCCTCCCCAGCTCTTCCTCCAGGTGGACTTGGCACTGTTTGTTCATTTGTGACTGCCATTTGTCTACGCTCTCCCTCGCTGTAATTATAAGAGTAGTCAGCCACATTGCCAGGGCAAACGGGCACGGGGCATGTGAACTTCCACCTTGTCAACTTTGTCTCCTTGTTCAAGTGATCAGTGTTTGGGGAATCTGCCATGTTGGCAGCTGTGAAATGATAACGTTACTTCTGCAGACTCCTCTTCTTATTTTCTAAATGAATCTACAGGATCTTTGACTTTCTTCTGATTGTTCTGAGACACAGTCTTGTTGTCTAAGCCAAACTAGCCTCAAATTCTACCTGGGCTCCAAGTCCAGACCCTCCTTCCTCGGCCTCCTGAGTGCTGGGATTACAGGCTTGTGCTATCAGGCCCAGGTTCTTCACTGGACCGTGGCTTGCAGATCTGTTTGTATCAAGCATACTGGTTCATTCCACCAGACAAATCAATCTGTCCAACTCCCCTTCTACATTTTTTTCTTGCTTTTTTGTCTTTGTATAAAAATAAGGTTAATTATTATTGATAATTTGGTCACCTCAGATCTCATGCAGGGCTTACATAATTTAGGTTGATCAAAACATGAACATTTGTTGAAAACGATATTATTTCATGCAAGCCCGTATTGTAACAAGGGCATATTTAGCTGTCATCATGAAATCCTGGCTGTCCCTCTGTCTTCACGACTATGGTCCTTGTTTCACCCTAAGCTTAGTTGTTACAATTCACATGCCTTTTAAAATGCTGTCTTTAAAATAAAACAGAACAGAAACAAATCAACCAACAAACAAACACTTTCCCATATAATTTTCAGGGACTTGTTACTTCCAACCGTGCAATGCACTGGACCACTTCCATCCTCCCTCCCACAAACCGTGGAACCGGCTCCTTCCCAAGAAGATGCTTCCTGCCCAGCAAGAAACTGATATAAAAAAGAAAGCAAACCAAGGTACGTGTGCGCGCGCGCGCGTGCGTGCGTGCGTGTGTGTGTGTGTGTGTGTGTGTGTGTATGCATGCGCAGGTGTGTGTGTGTGTGTGTGTGTGTGTGTGTGCACATGTGCACAGGTGTGTTCTCTCCTGCACTCTGTGAAGAAACTGATGCCTTGGAGGAGCAGCTGCCTACATTCCTCAGGTGGACTGAGATGTTTGCGATGATTTCAAAGCACTATTACTTTCAGCAAGTTTCTTAACGAGTTCTAATAGGAAATAAAAGAAGTTTCTTCATTCTCAGCTTCCAGGCTTTTTCTTCTTTATCTACTGCCTATGCTATATTGTTGGTCGGTTGGTTTGTTTGTTTTTTATCAAACCATGTGTGTGGGTTTAAATATCGACCCCAAATGAAGCGAACTTCATGATGTCCTGCTGGTTTTCTCTTTGACTCTTAGCCTAAGCCTCTGGTTGCCAGTGTGACTGTGGACGCTCCTTTGCACACTGCTCATCATCATCTGAGCAGTTCCCAGAGGCCAGGAAGTAAATGTCCACCCAAGCTCCCAGGGGCGCAAAGGTCACGTACCAAAGGAAGCTTTGCTTTAGTCGGTAAAATGGTTCTGGAACCCTGCTCTGGGATCCCCCATTCGTCCTTCTTCATTTGAACGCATGCTCCTGCCCCCCACAGGCCTTCCCATTTCTGTTGTCAGCAGTTCTAACGCTGAACTAACTTTTCTATTACCTCAGCACTTCCTATCCTCCACCTACAAAACAGCCTGTCAGTAAACTTACTCAATTCTTCCTTTGAATAGTCCCAGAATAGTCCCCTCCCCCCACCCCTAGTCTAGTCTATTGAAATAAGATACATCATCTCTTCTCTAGGTTAGTGGATTAGCCATCTAAACAGTTCCCTTCTTACAGCTTTGCTTATTTTCATTATTTCAACAGCAAATAAAACAGAGAGATCCAGTTAAAACCTGTGATCACATCTTACATTGACTCAGTTGATATTGAAGTCCGTTTGAAATCAAAGTAGAAACAAGTCCTGTGGAGACTGTGGCTTTACCTCCCTGACCCACCATCTTCTCTCCCTTTCCTTTTTAAATATTTGTGGAACTTAATCAACAATGTTTTGTGAAAGTTGAAAACATTCTTGTCAAATCCAGACAACATCAGAGCAAGGAGGTTGTGGGGGGTGGGTAAGTACTGAGGTAAGTAGGGTTAAGCACTTTCTAATGAGGTTTCCTCTCATTCTACACACAGTCTCTGCTTTGTACATCTCACACATGAATGGGTTTGTGTAACTAAGTTAGCAAGGTGAATGGTGAAAAAAGAGCAATGGATCTCAAAATGGGCGAAAAGCTATCATTGTGTTCTTCCCTAAGTGGCCTACGATTCTCTTAAGTAAATAAATTCAAGGTGTTGGGAAAAGGATAGAGCTCTCTTTTTGGTAGAAAGCAGCCATATATCTGAATATAAACCATGGTATTGGATACAGTACCAGAAGAGAGAGACCGGTGAAAGCGTTATAAAGAAATTACAATTTTTTTTAGTTGAACAAAATCTCAGTGTTTCTAGTTTTGGCAATGGAGGACGCACATTTTGGAAAAGAAACAGGGCATTTCCAACATGTCTCTGGCCTCTAGGACTCCCCTTAAGGCTTTTTCAATAATTATTGCACTACCATCCACTTTTAAGCATTTATATATCCTAGGTCCACTGGACACCTGTAGAACTCCAGAATATGGCCAAGAAAAGTCTTCAGCATTTCAAAATACTTTATACAAAGTCCAGGGGAACCAAGAGAGGAGGCAACTAGACTATAAATTGAAGGTCTGGAATTACAGAATTTGGCCTTCCCTCTGAGTTTTCAAGCCTTAGTCTGTCTTGCTCAGCTGATCAACCTGTGCGCTGCCCAACAGCTGCTCATCTGGGAACCCACACTTCACATCACTCTCTTTCCAAGTCTAGACCCCCAAATGGAGAAGGTGTATTTTCTTTGTTAGTCTGCAGTCAGAATCATAAGCTAAGTAGCTTCAATTTACAGCTCAACACAATGTGTTACGTTCCTTAAATTGAGACTATTAAAATAATTTTATTATATCCCATCTTACTCTTCTTGTCAGCATAGAACTCTATATATTTTTATAGTCATTATTCTTCCAGCCATTCAAGAAATGCAGATGTTTCCTTAACCACTGCATGTCTTGTCATCTCACATTGTCAGCTTTATAATATACTGAATAGTACACCCATTCTTTATACTCCCAATGTTCTTGGCAACCATTTATAACACAATCTTACTAGAAATTCTGCCTCCATTAAGAAAACATTATCACTAGAGAAACACTTTTACTTTTTTTTCTCCTGTGTGTGTGTGTGTGTGTGTGTGTGTGTGTGTGTGTGTGTGTGTGTGTGTATGGCATATGCACATATCTGAGTTCATGTGCATGTGCCCATGGGGAGGCCAGAGGAGGGCTTCCTGTGTCGTCTTTTATCATTTTCTACCTTATATTTTGAGACAGGTCTTTCATTGGATCTCATCATTTCAGGTAGGCTGACTAGCCAGTGTGATCCCAGGATCTTCCTGTCTCCACCTTCCAATGCTAGGGTTAAGGGCACGTGCAGACATGCCTGGTTTTTATGTGAGTATTGGGGACGCAAACTCTTGCTTGCAGAGCAAACGATCTTATCCACTGAACTGTCCCCCTAGCCCTAAGAACTATTTTCAAAGTAAAAATTAGGTGTCGTTTCCATCCGGAAAATTTTCTCTGTCATATGTTTGTGTTATAATTAAGACAAAGATCAGCCTCTTTGTTGAATGACATCCAATGATCTTCATATTCTGGGTCTGAGTTAAATTAATAATGCCTGTTAACTATACCACCACAACCTGTTTCATTAGATTCAACCCACAGACAGAGATCACATTATCTTCTCCACAGAACTTCCCCCACCCCCAGTCGCAAGCAATAGAGAGGTGATAGTAAGTGTTTGACGCTGTTCATCTTGAGGCATGACTAAGACAGCCCCAACACCTTTCGTAATGAAACACGTAGACTTCGTGATTGCCATGTTACTCAGAGTGCTTTTTTGTTTAGTTTCTGGTTTGACTAAGATATGTGACATTGCCACAGGTCTGTCTTTTACAGTGTCATGTAACTTTACACTGTATCGTACATCAAAGGCAATCTTGGGATAATTAGGTTAGATAAGATGGCGCCTTTTCTATACCATAAACATCTTCAGCATTTCCTCTATCCCTCTGCCTCCAATTCCAAAATTTTATCTCCTTCAAATCTCTTATGAAACAGAGACTTTAAAAACACAGTAAGTATGTATTTTGTTTAAAGGGGTAGACATCAGTATTTTCTTTCCACATTAACACACACATACTCACAGTGTACCTTTCAGTATTAGTTTATCTCAGTTAAGTGTTTGTATTCACTTAATTGCCTTAGATTTTACCTAAGTATTTCTAGCTGCTTTTCCAATTTTACATTAAGCAAATCATAAGTAAACTTCATTGTCAGTTTCTGCTGGGAAAGACTTTCCGATTTCTAATCCAATGACCCAGTGATTATCTTTCATCTTAGTTGCTCTATCTCATTCACTTTCTGGCTTATCTCTCTTTCTACCCAAGGGATCCCCCCCACTAAATAAAATTTGAAATTAATTTTTCTGAGGAAAAATTATATTTTCTTAAGCTTTCCTTACAGATCTCAGCATTAATGACTTGTATGCTACAAAAAAATCACATATTTTGTTTTCCTTTTGAAGATTATAAATCACATTACCTGATTAGACTGTGATAATCTTAGGATGTTAGGGAGTTCATCTTTAAACTCATCTACAAGGTCCATGATTGCCTTCTGGATCCCCTCAACTAAGAAAAGGAGAAGTTAGCAGAAACAGCCTGTGACATTCACAGGAGTATGGAACACGGGCCCACCTCCTGGGTAACTGGGAATACAGGGAAACCCGTGAGATTTGTCCCCAGTTGTCCCCATGCCCACATCCCAGTTTACAGTAAGATTAGTCATACGTCTTCCAGAGAAGTTCTTCAGCACCTGCCCACATATCCACCCAATAGGTCTGACTTCCATGATGAGCTGTGACTTAGGTTCCAAGTGTTTAGCAAGTAGCAGGCCTGGGATAAGGATGTCCTGCTACTTAGGACGGCAGGCAAGGACAGAACCTGACACACTGCCAGAGTTCTTTGTTACTACACAATGGGGCCTCTGAGAACTTCTCACAGAACCTTCTGAAATATCTGTGGAGGTGGGAGGAAGAGGAATGTGTTTGGAGGCAGAGGGGAGGAGTGAGGAGCCGAAAAATGAACCACACTAGGAACTTCTATAATACAAAATGAGTTTTGTCCCCAGTTCTATAGTGGTACGGGAATTAATGAATCACCTGAGCACAAAGCTCCCTCTGAAGGCAGTTGGAAGTGATTTAAAAGAAATCACATAATGTCAAACACACACACACACACACACACACACACACACACACACACACACACACACACACACGCCATTAATTTGGAAAAACTTCTGACGAGATCGAGCTTCACCCAAATTGAGATCAATAGGTCGCATCAGGCAAAACTGTGAAGTTTTTGGTTTGTCTGCATTTCTTCAGTTTTTGCACACCTAGAAAATCATTGCCCCCCACTCACCATACAAGGAAAGAACTAAATATCAGGTCAATTTGATTGAGTTAGTGTGGATGAGTTAAAAATTGGTGGATTAAACGAAGTCTCATTTTACACTTAATAGTAGCTTGGTGGTTGTCTTCAGCAAGCTTGAGGCTGTGGCCAATGGAAGCTTGTTCATAGAAACTGTAGAAGAGAGATCACCAGAAGATCCCCACTATCACACTTTTCTCAGCCCTTAACCTGACTGTAAATACTCTCCACTATACATACCCACTTCTAGCCAAATACTACTCTATTGTGCTTTATTCTTTACTAGCTAACATTTCTCAAGAGCATACTTAGAGTTAGATATCATGCAGGGCTCTAGTGAAAACAATCTAATGAAATGAAGTCTGAACAGAACACCAGAGGTGGATGGGTAGATTGGGTTTTCAGCATAGAATTGACCCCTGATACCATGTGCTTTTATCAGCTTTCTGTGGAGAATATTTGAAAGAGAAAAGTGTATGGATTTCCAAGACTTAGGAAAAGGGATGTGAATCAGGGGCATGTTTATATTTAATTCTGACTATCAATAGCTTACACATATTTAATTAGGACAGTGAAGCAGCTATTCATATTTCCAAGCTTTATCTTAATTACAGACTCATGGAAAACTTCAAAAATAGCCAAGATCTCAATTACCCTTGACCCAGTTTTCCACAATAACGACATCTTATAAACCATAGCACAACAGCAAATCCTGAAGTACGATGTTGGTGTGACACTAAATTCATTCAGATTCCGGCAGTTTTATGTGCACTTATTTGAATGGATGTGTGTTTGGTTCTAAGCCATGTTCTCACACATATGGAATTATGTAATTTATCATCCTTACTCATTAAAATAGTTTTTTTTTCATTCTAGTTATTTACATTTCATAGAGAAACCATACTACAGGAACTTTAAAAAACGAAAGCATGAAATATAAATGTATTAAGTCTTATTGAAAGTATAAATAGTATTGCAACTCCTGGGAACTTAATTAATGTCTTAAATATTATCAGTTGTTTGCCATTTGCATGTTTTAATTACAAATTGCTATTATCATAGCCACTACAACTTGTAAAATGCTTTTTGGCTTCTTGTTAGCATGTTCGTAGCAGCTCAATTGATGGGACATTGACTTACCTTTCAGAGAACTAAAGTCAACTGACAAAATTATATTTCTTTTTAAATGGATTTTATACCTTTTGTTTGTTTAGATCCTCATTACAATAATCTTTAAAATGTAACTTAGTAAAAATATTTTTGTATTTTATTGATACTATTTCATGTCACAAAATTCAACTGTAACAAAAGCCATGAAGAGTTGACAGAATATATTGATCTAGACTTTTCTGGGAGCTCCGATGGGTTGTTGACTACTCCCAGTGTTATCAGCACAATGAGACCTACAATATTTAAAGTTCCTTCTACCCATGGTGGTCTACAGTTCCAGAGCAATGACCTCCAGGTCACTCAGCATCTTGACATGAAGCAGTAACTTGTGCAAATGAAACACTCTCAAAGGAGTTTGGGTCAGGCTCTTGCCTTAGCAGGCCAGTGACTGGAGAGACACAGCAAATCTGTGTCTCACTGTATTAACACCCTGTGAGCTTGGAAGGCTTAACATGGTACCACCAGCAGCTGCTTCCTCAAAGGACATGCAAACTTTAGACTATGGAAGAATAAATAAATAATTAACTGTGCTAACAAAAAATAACTTTAGTGTTTTAATGGAAATGTTACCCCATTATTTTTTAATAACTGGACAAAACATCACAAAGCATTACCATTTTGGCAGTGTTTATTGTTTAGTCCTGAGCTTCATTCCGATTGAATTAAGTCAAAGTATGTGATGCTCTCTTGTGGGCCAGGCAAAAAAAAATCTTCTTTGTAGAGAGAAAATAATAGTGGACCAGCTGCCAAGAAAAGTATTTGTAAACTAGATTCCCCCCACCAAAATCTGTAATTAATTTCATAAAAATAACAAGAGCCTTTTTTTTCTTTTTGCTTGAAAATATGCTAGAAGATTTCTGTGAGTCAGATTAGTGTGAGTAAATATTTTCAGGCTGAGAAAGTGCTGCTTTGTGAAAGTTGCCTGAAATGTAGCCTTTGAACAACAGTAACATTCACAGCTCAGCAGCTTACACATGCTTTACACCTCAATAAAAACACACAGCCAGAGCAAAGCTAGATTTCTAATTCAGTAATGTTAAAAAAAAAAAAAAAAAAAAAAGACCAAGAGTAGATTGAAGCACTTCATGATATTCCTTTTTACAAATAATTTTTTTTGTTGTTTTTGAAAAAGGGTTTCTCTGTGTAGCCCTGGCTGTCCTGGAACTCATTCTGTAGACCAGGCTGCCTGGAACTCAGAGATCCGCCTGCCTCTGCCTCCTGTGTGCTGGGATTAAAGGTGGGGGCCACCACTGCCAAGTTTTTCCTTTTTTTTTCTGACAAAGAAATTTTAAACTACATTTATTTATCTACACATGCACACATGTGAGTGTGTGTGTGTGTGTGTGTGTGTGTGTGTGTGTGTATGTGTGTGTGTGTGTGTGTGTGTGTGTGTGTGTGTGCTTGTGTGCACGCGGTCTCATGCATACCATGGTGAGTGCATGTGGAAGTCAAACGACAGCTTGTGGGAGTCCCTTCGTTCTTTCCACATTGTTGGTCTGAGGGATGCAACTCAGATCATCAGCTTACCAGCAAGCATCCTTATCTACTAAGCCACCTTGAAAGCCTCATGATGAAACTGTAGTGAACTAAAATTAGTGAAGTGTCTTCGTCACTGTTCTATTGCTAAAAAGACACCTTGACCAAGGCAATTCTTATAAAAGAAAACATTAGTTGGGGGTCTGCTTACAGTTTCAGATGGTTAGTCCATGATCATCAAAGCAAGAAGCAGACAGGTATGGTACTGGAGCAGTAGCTGAGAGCTTTGCATCATGATCTGCAGGCAACATGCAGATGCGTGCATGTGCGCGTGCACACACACACACACACACACACACACACACACACACACACACACGGCCTTTTTTGCACTTTTGAAACCTCAAATCCTACCTCTAGCGACACACCTCCTCAACAAGGCCATACCTCCTCAGCAATTCATCAACTGGTGTGCAAGCTGCAGAAGTATGAGCCGTGAGGTGGGAGGGTACTCTCATTCAACCACCTCATGAACTGTGTTTAAATCCTTAAACATTTCTCAGTAGCTTGTTTCATTTTAAATTATGCTAATAATTCCATATTATAATACCATGATTCTCTCAACGGAGAACTTAGAATTTGCTTTGAGTAAACAAATTTAATAGGTAAAAGAAAAAACAAAAAGGCTCACATCTTTCTAAGAGATAAAAGGCATGAAAAAATAAAATCAGCACATTTGAAAACATTGCAAAACAAAAACACTTACATTTGTATGTTATTGTCAACATTTTAACACAGGACTTGACTCCCTCTGAAGATCTAGAGTGCTTGTTTTCTTATATGCCAGAATAAAAATCCCGTCTCAAAGCACCGGCCAAGTGCTAGCACATGTCCTGGTCCTGGAAACCTCCTGTGTGCTGCACGCTCCCAGGATGCCTCTGGGAGGCAGGCCTTTCAGTGACACACAAAGGCATGAGGAGACTCCCACCATCTTTCCCAGCTGGAGAGGGGCAGAAAGAAGAGAAAGCCAAAGTTGCCTGACTAAACAATGTACACATTTTGAACATGCTCAGCACAAATCACTCCCGTTTCTCGATAAAGAACCTCCCCTGAGGTGCTCTGTTATATTACATACTTCATTCATTTCCTCAAGATTTATCATAAAGCATCATCTGTATTAAATTAATTCCTCACCAACAATTAGCTTTGTTGTTTTAAAAAAATGGTTGTTGACTGGGGATGTAACTCTGTGGTAAAACATTTGTTTAGCACTGGTGAGGCCCTGGGTTCTACCCCGAGCATAGCAAAATAAAATGAAACATAAAAAACCCTCCTAATTTTATGTATTATTTTAAAAATATTTTTATTTAATGTGCATGCATACATGCATAGAATATGTTTGTATCAAATGTGCCCCCACTCCCTCCCCTCCAATTCTTCACTTATCACTCACACTTTTCCCTCCCAACTTCATATTCTCTCTCTCCGCACATCCACTGAGTCCAGTTAGTATTGCCTGTACATGCACACGTATGGAGCCATCCACTGGAACACAGGCAGCCTCTCAGGAACTACATCTCTGAAGAAAACTGACTCTTCCTCCCCTAGCAGCCATCAGTTGCCAACAGCTCCTTAGACAGGGGTGTGACTTGATGATCTTCTTCCCCATCTATGCTGAGGTTTTTAACTGGCTTGAGTTTGTGCAGCTCATGTGCACACAGTCCTAACTGCGATGAGCTCATGTGTGCCCCGACAGTGTCAAAGCTCACGTGCACACACAGTCCTAACTGCGATGGCTCATGTGTGCCCCCGAGAGTGTCAAAGCTCACGTGCACACACAGTCCTAACTGCGATGGCTCATGTGTTGCCCCAACAGTGTCAAAGCTCAAGAATACTATTTTCTACTGACCTCTAGGTCCTCTGACTATGGTGATATTTTATTTGTGCCCTAACAAATAAAGCTTGCCTGAAAATCAAAAGGAAGAGCTAGCCACTAGTTAACCATAGAGGTCTGGAGGTCTGTACAGACAGACAGGAATAGATAGAGCTGGTTGGAGAGAGGAAATGATAAGGCAGGGTGGAAAGAGGAGCTCGCTCTCTCTCGGTGGAGGATTTCATAGAGGTAAGAACTAGTGGCTTGCTCTCTGCCTCTCTGATCTTTCAGCTTTTACCCCAATATCTGGATCTTGATTTTTTTATTAATAAGACCAGTTAGCAATTCGTGTTACATCTGACTCTTACAATCTTTCGACCTCCACTTCCAAAATTATCCCTGAAGCTCAGGGGAAGGAGTGTGATACAGATGTCCCATTTAGAGCTGAGCATTTTAGTCTCTGCATGTTGACCTGTTGTGAGCCTCTGTGTAGGAAGCTTCTGTGATGAGGGTTGATTTATACACTAGTCTATGGGTATAAAGATAAGAACTTAAGGGCCGTTTATCACTATGTTCTTTTAGAATAACAGTAATATGTTCTCCTCTAGGGCCTAGGACCTAGCCAGCCACAGTCTTTGGCCCACTTAACTGTACAGGCATGGGTTCTATCTTGTGTAGCAGGCTTTAAATCCAATCAGAAAGCGGCTGGTTACTCCCATAGCACTCATGCTACCAGTGACCATATCTTGCCAGGTCAGTTGCTGTTGTAGCTCGCCAGGTTCACAACTGAGTAAAATAGTTGATTACTTTTCTGCTCTGGTAGTAAGTATAGAACTTTCTAGCATTGTGAAAGTTACTCAGTAGAGATGAAGTTTCTGGGTCAGTATGGGTTTATTTCTCCATGTCCTGTAGTTCAGGTATGTAGTATATTCAGAATTAGAGTCTTACTGTCAAGTTTTAGAAGGTGTTCCAGGATATTTGAGCAAACTGTGTAAAGATATGTTGCTGTTTTATTTTGCCTGCCTAAGGCACCTGATTGGTTTAATAAAGAGCAGAATGGCCAATATCTAGGCAGGAGAGAATAGATGGGACTTCTTGGGAGAGAGAGGAACTCTGGGAAGCAGAGAAGTGAGAGACACCACTGAAACGTGGAGGGACGCAGACATACATTACGGAGGAAAGCTGACGAGCCACATGGCAGAATGTAGATTAACAGAAGCGGGTTAATTCAAGTTATAAGATCTCATTGTGAATAAGCCTAGGCTGGAGGCCAAGCCTCTATAATTAATAAGTCTCTGTGTCATTATTTGAGGGCTAGTGGACCCAGCAAGTCTGATTACATCTAGATAGCATGACCACACTGAGGAGAAGCCACGCCACCTGCGCCACGCAGTTACCACCTGGGTCTCTCTGTGACGACTCACAGTAGTCAGATGCTGCTAGCAGGGACTCTGGAAAAGAGGGCAAAACAACCTCCCAGAGCTGAGACCATTAGGTGTGGCTCCAGCTGCTGCCTACAGACCTAAGAGGACAGAGCCAGCCGCCAGCACCATGTGCTAAGTGGAACCATGCTGTTTAAGGTTTGGCTCACACAATCAGAGAAGGCTGCAGACACAAAAAACCAGGTCCAGAAGAAAAACAATCAAACAAATAAAAACCTCTGAACAAGTACAATATGTTGGAAAATGTACTTAGATACTAAAGAAAAAAAATAAAATGGGTATAAATAGTCACAAAAAAATTAAAAATTAAAAATAGTAAAGCCTTTTAAAAAAAGAGTGCCATAATATAAAAAGAATAAGCCATGTAAAGACGGGAAATACTCAGGGCATCTGGATCCTGTGTGGTGCTTTGTTGACTTTGAATTTTTGAATGCTGAGGAGAGAAAGACAAACTGCTGAGAGACACTGGATTGTAGAAAAAAATGCCAAGTTAAACCACCCTATATGTTTTAAGATGTCTTAACTTTAGAATGGAAGTCAGAAAATGTGTTGTGTTGGGGGAGAGGTTGTGCCTTTGTTTACAGAGGAAACAAAAAGCTATGGATTCCTTCAAAAGTAATGAAGATCTGATTTTAATAGGGGAGACCTGAAGCTGCAGACATGAAGGAAGAAACCAAGAAAAACCACAAGACAGGTGACATAAAGGCTGATCCCTCAACATGGGAACATCTCTGAGACTGGATGAGAGAAGATAAATCTTGTTGGCCACAGAGTCCTCATGACGTATTATTACATGCCATCCTTTTTCATACTGTATGGATGGAGATTTATGTTAAAGTTTGGTTATACAGTCCAAATGGACTTATAAAGTTGACAGATGTCTTTTATATGCTCAAACATAGAACACAGAATCATCTTTAGCTGATTTGTGCATAGTGTACGTTCCATATTTGTATTAATGCAGCTATGTATATTACTTTTAAAAATTTGTGTGTTTTTAGAACAAAAGGACCAGTCCTCAATGAAGACAAGTATCCCAACTGATCCAGCCTCTCAGAATGTCTCTGTTGCAGTTTCCTCAAAATTCTACATCCAGAATAACTTCAAAGTATCTAGTTGAGATGGTCCAGCCTCACAGACTACTCCAGCCAGAACTTCAGTTAAGCCCTGCACTTTGCCGTCACAGAGACCGGACAACAAGTGACACAGCTAGCTCTCCCAGGATTTGACCATTATCCCGATTTCTCAGGGTCTCCTAAAGGTGCCATAACCCACAGACAGCAGGAAGTAATTTAAGAACATGTTGTTCACATTCCCAAGAGGTGGGGTGGGTGGTTTTTGGTCATTCGGTAGGTTATGAATGTTTGTCATTGTTTAGGGGGGTTGGTTGCAAGTTGTTACTGGTGATGGTTGGAAAAAACTAAGCAAAGGAGGTTAGATTCAGGGATCTCTTTCTGAAAAGAAAATGGGGGGACATAGGAATGGTAAGTAAACAAGAGTGTTGGCAATAGCCTGCAACATTTGGGAGGGTGGTCTAAGGGATTCCACTGACCAGACCTTGAAAGAAAGTGACTCATGCCTGGCATTGGGTTTTTAATTTGAGAGCCCATGTTGTCTGGGGCAGGCATAGTTTTCATGCTATAATGTAACATAAATAAACCCTTTCATATATGTATGTGTGCATATGTATATATGTATGTGTGCATATGTATATATGTGTATATGCATGTATATGTGTGTGTATGTGTGTGTGTATATGTGTGTATGTATATGTATATGTGTATACATATGTGTGTATGTATATATGTATGTATGTGTATATGTGTGTAGATGTATATATGTGTATATATGGGTATATATGTGTATATGTGTATATGTGTGCATATGTATATGTATATATATGTGTATGTGTGTGAGTGTGTGTATTTAGGAAGATACTACAGTAGTGAGTTTCCATATGGAGTTTTAGAGCTTTGTAGTGTTAGTTATCATTCTCCATGGTCCCTCCTCTTCCCTGACCTCCTATTGAGACCTTCCTATTCTATTACACCCCCTTTTCTCTTCACACCAGCTGCATTCTATCTCCATTTTCTTGAAATTCCCTCAGGCCCTAATTAGTTTCCTGTTTTCTGTGAGTATTCCAATTTAAACACACATGTCTAAAAATTCAAAGCCAACATCCGCATACAAGGGAAAACATGCAGTCTTTCTGGGTCTGAGTGGCCCCACTAGGAATGATTATTTATAGCTCCAGCCATTTACCTGAAAATTTCATTTTTCTTAATAGCTGAATAATAATCTATTGTGTACATGAACCACATTTTTATAATCCATTCATCTGTTGATGGCATCCAGGCTGTTGCCATTTTCTGGCTATTGTGAACCTAGTAGTAATGAACGTGAATACACAAGTATCTCTTTAGCACAATATGCCGTCCTTCGTGAATATGCCCAGAGTGGAAATTCACGCTGATTTCCACTGTGGTGGCATCGTTTTCACTCCCATCAGCAGTTCCTGGTCCATTTGTTATTGCTTGTTTTTCTAATCGTGGCCATTCTGACTAGGGTAAGTCAAACCTTTTCATTTGCATTCCCCTGAGGGCTAAGAATGTTGAAGAATTTAAAAAAAAATAGTTCTTGGTCATTTGTATTCCTTCTTTTGAGAACTCTCTGTTCTATGCCCATATTTTTAATTAGGTTGTTTTCTTGTTATTTAATTTTTGCATTCTTTGTATATTTTAGATACTAACCCCTTGTTAGATGTATAACTGATAAAGGTTTTCCTTGTTCTTTAGGCAGGTTCCTCTTCACTTGAATAATGGTGTTCTTCAAGTCCCTATATAGACCTTTGTTTAGACTGATTAGTGACAAATCCTTGATGATCCATTTGTTTCCTTTAGCTACAAAGCTGTCCTGAATAAGAGTGCACACAGATACTTCCTGAAGGGACATAAGACCTCAAGAAAACCCTCTGCTTTCTACTCCAGCAGTAAATTAAGCTGATTGTCTCCAGGTTAGCTCTGTTTTTAACATGCAAATTTAATTTTACTGCCTCATGTTTGTTTTAGAAATTGGAAATGCAGGCAACTTCTCTACTTCTCAGTCTTAGTTAAGAAGAAACTCTGAGACCATTGTTCAAACAGTCAATAATATATTTTACACACATATATGTGTAAGATTTGGCCTCAAGAGTAAATCTTCATTGAATTTTCCCTTAATAATCCCATTTAATAACTAAGGAGGCAATGTCCATATGACCAAAGACAAGTCTTATCAGGGACTTTGTGGAACACGACAGGACAATGTAGAGTTTGAATTGCCTTTGGTCTGCACCATGGTTAATTTTATGCATCAATTTGCCTAGGTAATGGTGTCCATATATTTGGTCAAACATTAATCTCAGTATTTCTGTGTAGGTACCTTTTTTTTTAAAGGAGATTAACATTTAAACTGATGGAATTTGAGTAAAGAAGATTACCTTTCTAGTTATGGGTGGGTCTCATCCAACCAATTGAAGATCTAAATGTCTAAAGATTAATCTCCCCCAAGCAAGAAGGAATCCTATCAGCAAACTGCTGTGGTGATATTTTGAACAAATAAAATTTGCTTGGAGATCAGAGGACAGAACAAGCCACTAGATTAAACATAGAGGCCAGGCAGTGGTGGCACACAACTTTAATCCTAGCACTCAGGAGGCAGAGGCAGAGATCCATCTTGATCTCTGTGAGTTCAAGGCCAGGTTGGGCTACACAAGATAATCCAGTCTAAAAGAGAAACAGAGCCAGGCAGTGGTGTCACATACCTTTAATCCCAGCACTTGGGATCACACACCTTTAATCCCAGCACTTGGGATCACACACCTTTAATCCCAGCACTTGGGATCACACACCTTTAATCCCAGCACTAGGAAGGTTGAGACAGGAAGTGATATGGCTGGGCAGAGAAAGGAATATAAGGTGGGAGGAGACAGGACTATCTCAGACTGAGGAGTTGGTGAGGTAAGACGTGGTGGCTGTGGCTTGCTCTGCTTCTCTGATATCTGGCTCTGGGTTTTTATTATAAGATCATTTAGGATTCATACAACAAACTGCCTTTGAGGTCAAAGCTTACCAGCTGTGGTAGTTTAAATGAAAATGACCCCCATAGGCTCATAGGGAGTGGTACTATTAGGAGGTGTGGCCTTGTTGAAGGAAATGTGTCACTGGGATGGGCTTTGAGGTTTGAGAAGCTCAAGCCAGGCTCAGCGGCTCACTCACTCTCCCTGCTGCCTGCAGACCCAGACGTAGAGCTCTCAGCCCCTCTCCAGCCCCATGTCTGCCTGTGTGCCCCGATGCTTCCCACCATGCTACTCTATTGGCTTTGAATTCGTCAAGTCTTCCCAGTTTCATGGACCAATTTCTTTAAACAATCTTTTTCTCTCCCTCATACACCTAGTTCTCTTTACTGGAAGCCCCCTGATTGTATCAGTTCATGACAAAGTCAACCAGCTGACCTCTGGACTGACCTCTGGGAACTCTTTAGGAAAGGAAACCAGGCTGAAAAGTTCCCTGTCTCATTTAGCTCCTTCTGAGATCTACATCAACTGAATTCACTGGAAGCCCAGGCCAGAGCAGGTACAGAGAGGAGTCCTACAAATCTAGACTCCTAGCATGCAAAGCAAGGTAGAGCAGAGTAAGAGGATGAGAGGGGAAGAAAACATGGACCCTCAAAGAAAACCTGATCACTATTAAGACTTCACTATGGTGGTCACCTCTAGAAGGATGGGATGGTCCATTTAGGAGGGATGTGGACAGTGGAATTATTTCCTTGATGTGAATGATGGGCACAATAATTATTCATTATTCTGATCATACTTTCCCCCTCTACCAACTTTCCCCAGATCCTTCCCACCTCCCTATCCACCCAACTCCACACCGTTTCCCTCCCTCTAAAAAAAGCAAACAAATATAAGACAACAACAACAAAAACAAGAAGTACAGACACAAAACCATAACAAAAGAAACAGAAACAAAAATAAACAAGCCAAAGACCAACAAGACGAAAAATCTCCGAACAAAGCAAAATGAGACAGAAAAACTCAAAGTACCGTTAAGTTAGTTTGGTGTTAGTCAACTACTTCGAGGCCTGGAGCATGACCTGAAGTGTGATTAATACAGCATGTGACTTCCTTTGCCAGGAGGTATCACTTGCAGATAGCTTCTTGGTTAGGGGTGGGAGCCAGTGTCTACTTCTCCCTCTCGGCACTGGGACCCCATCTAGCTTGAACCTTTGTGGTTCTTGTGCATGCTGTCACAGTCTCTGAGTTTACAAGTGCAACAGTCCTGTTGTGTCTAGAGGGACACTGTTTCCTTGAGATTCCTGCTCAAAGAACCACAGCACCTCCTGAAACTGTTACCCTGAGGCCAACCTTTTCCGTACAGACCTTCAGGGGATTTTCACCTAACCTACAGTAGGATTCATACTGCATTTTGACTATAGGAGGAGGAAAAGGGTATGTGTGGCTGTGTATAAATTTGCTGGCTTGGTGGTAAGAAGCAGAGGGGAATCCTTTGTAAACCAATGCTTACTTTTTCTCTGTAACATGGAATATGAGAATGAATAAAGAAATGTCAAAGTTAAAGATGGAAAAAGGAGAAAGTCTGTACCACATCTGAGAGCCAAAGGTTAACTTGGATTACCAGATTAATACTATATGACACTGAAGTTAAGGGACCATGAACTTACATGCCATCAACGCACACAAATTATGACTTTCTACACAGTGATGTTTGAATGAGAATGGTCCTGTAGGCTCATATGTTTGAATGCTTGGTCCCCAGTTGTTGGATCTGTTTAGGAAGGATTAGGGGGTGTGGCTTTGTTGGAGAAGGTATGTCATTGGAGGTGGGCTTTGAGTTTCAAAAGCCTAGGCCATTCCCAGTTCCTCTGTCTCTCTCTTTCTCTCTCTCGTGTTTGTGGATCAGATGTGAGCTCTCAGCTACCACTCCAGAGCTGTGCCTGCCTGCCAGCCATGCTCCTTGTTGTGACAGGCATGGATTCCAACCCTCTGGAACTTTAAGCAAACCCTCAATAAACTCTTTATAAATTACTTTGGTCATGAGATCTTATCACAGCAATAGAAAAGTAACGAAGACATACAGTGATGCTTCATAATCCAGATATGAAAAGTCAGATACCTACATGGATCCAGTTTTAGAATAGAATGGGAGGGAGAGAGGGAAGAAAGGAGGGAGAGAAAGAAATAAAGAGAGACTATGAGGATGTGATAAATGGTACATAAAGAAAGAAATAAAAACAAAAGACTAGCTAAGATGGGGAGAAAAGAAAGATCCAGAGTTCAGACATCTTGTGAGAATGTGAGCAGGTAGTATGTGAGTGATGAATACAGATGGCTGGAGGCTGCTCATCCAGGGTGTCTTGGGTTTTTATTTCTGTGAAGAGACATAACTGACCATGGTAACTCATACAAAGGAAACATTTAATTGTGTTGGCTCACATACAGTTCAGAGGTTCAGTCCATCATGGTGGGGAGCATGACGGCATGCAGGCAGGCATGGTGCTGGAGAAATAGCCGAGTGTCATACATCTTGCAGGCAACAGGAAGTTGACTGACACACTGAGCAGTATCCTGAGTATATGAAACCTCAAAGCCCCCCCACACACACACACAGTGACACACTTCCTCCAACAAGGCCATATCCATTCCAACAAAGCCACACCCCCTAATAGTGCCACGCCCTATGAGATTATGGGATTATGGACTAATTACATTCAAACCACCACACAGGGTATCAATTATTTGAATGTGTTGTCTTAGATATCCATACAGAGAATGATCCTCCATAGTTGTGCTTTTGGTTTTGAATGAGTTAATTTGTTAAGGATATAGCAAGCAAGAGTCCAAGAATAAAACAGCAAACAGACACTTACATCATCCTACAAAAGTGGCCTGGAGAAACTGAAAATAAAACCACCAGCTAGAGCCTCTGATGCACAGAGAGATTCCCAGGCAGAAGTCTTCCAGGTGAGACTTGCAATGTGCCATTCCCACCACATTTATTTTATGTCACGAGATAGCAGTAGCTGAGGCTTTCACTTTGGGAAGAAGCCTTCAAATCACTTACCTCCTAGCTGTGCTCAAGGACACAATGCTTTTACTCAAATGTAATTCGAAAACTCAATCCACTCCCTCTGATCTCAAGGAAATAGTGTGTTCATGTCTGTGTTATTTTCAGCTCTCCTTTTTCCTTTTCACAGGCAAAGGGATGGTGGTGCATTCAGCCCATCCCCATCAGGGGAGCTTGGAGGATATTTTAAGGTCTTGAATCTGAAGGTAGCGGGTAGGCAACCCCATCTCTACAGACAGCTTCTTCGTTTAAACAGAGCATGACAACTTACTAATACAATGTGTATTACAGATGTGGAGTTGTTGCAGATGGTGACAAAGTTTCAGGTCTGGCTATGTGTAGATAAAGTAGAATGGTGGTGAAGGTCACCAAAAATAAAGAGGCTCAGGTATGGAAAGGGAATTCAAGTGGTCAGGGAGATCATTGAGACTTCGGACACATCTGTGTTTGAGGGAAAGAGTGAGAGGCAGATACGGGGCATTTAAGGAATGCTGGGTGGTAAAAGGACTGATGGGGAACGGCTAACCGAGGGCAGTAGGAGAGAGGAGGAAGTGTATGCAGATGCCTCTCTTGGATTTCAGGAGAACAGAAGAAGAAAGGTCTGATTTCTCCATCTGGCCTAAACAAAATTCAAGAAGGAAGACTGGAAAAGATTGGCAACAAGCCAAAGCCTGGGTCAACCTAGCTGACCAGAGTAAGATACGAAGGGGAAGTTGCATGTTGTACTAGTGATGTGAGAAACTGGGGCATGCTAGCTTCAACTGGCTCGACTTTTCACAAATTTGCATTAGTAACACCTTGATATTAGGTAATGGGCAATATTTGGTGACCTATCTGCCCAGCTTCACTGAAGAAGATCCTAAAAGATTCTCAATGTTTATGTTCCTCCTTGATAGAAGAATCTGATAGCAGGAAACACAAATGCCTTGCACGTACCTGTTCAGAGAGGCATGGGATTCCTAGAAAGAACCAGAGTGGGTTTGTGCCCATGACTACTGGATGATCCTCTTGTATAATGCTGTCAGGAAGCTAGTTTACCAGTCTTTGCAAAATGGCTCAAGCTGACATCAGAAGAGACAACTTCAGAACATGGGTCAAGGCAAAAATTGGCTTAAGGCAATTTGCTCTGAAAAAATAGTGTTTCTATTACAGTTCAGTGATGCCACAAATGCAGTTAAGATGTTCAAAATATCCCCCGAATCAAACTGACAGGCACCCTAGGTGCTTAACTAATGTTTACTGACGTGAAGACAGTAACAGGGGAAGAAAAACGTTGGGTGCGTAGAGTTGTTAGTCCCTCTGATGGTTCGAGCGGGATTGCAGAGTGCATAGTGTCCTGTTGATGCCCTAGTGGGAGCCATGTGGGGCATCTTTACAGAAGTAAAGTTTGTGGACTTGCAATGCTGAGGAATGAGCTTTGGAAAATGTGAGCTAAGTGAGGCAATGTCATCCTGCCATCCTGTCAGGCCAGCTGGCCTCTCCCCATGACATTTCTAGCCTGATTGTTTAGAACAGCAATTTCATTTAAATCACTTTGATTTTCTTCAATAAAAATTCTGGAAGCCATGAAAGGGATTTGTAGCAAAATATTGTTGTAATCAGAGTAATATAAAAGAACTGAGTAATGTATTAGGGCATAGCCATTAATAAAATAAACTGACCTGGAAATGCCTCCTAACCCCAGAGTCTAGCATGCAGTTACTCTACAACAGAAGTTCTCAACCTGTGGGTCAAGACCCCTTTGGAGTCACACATCAAATATCCTACATATCAGATATTTACATTATGATTCATAACAGTAGCAAAATTACAGTTATGAAGTAGCAGCTAAATAATTTAATGGTTGGGGGTCACCACCATATGAGGAGCTGTGTCAGAGGGATGAAAACCACTGCTCCAGAGAATCTCTAGCAGTTGGGATGGTTGTAAAGCTACAGCTAGTGAAGACGGAAATGCTCACTGACACAGCAGGAAGCAAAGTAAACTCGGCTTAAAAAACTGTTGGCTTTTTTAAGTCATGCTTTGTTGTTCTTGTGTTGTACCAGGGTTATATATTTCTGCACGTCTTACTTCTCAGCATAGGCTTTCTGCAGTTCTAAAGTTAGGTTTAATCGTCTGTGAAAACATATTCCCCTCAACATGATGAATATTCTAATAACAATTACCCATGATTATTTTGATGCAGTTCATTCACCCACAAGCAGTTAGCTTCTTGTTAGCCAGTTCAACAGAAATACCATTTCTTGCTAGATTTCACCTGATGCAAAAGAGTTTTGACCCCTCAGAATTCAATAGATCTCCTTACAATGAAATTTGCCAAATTTCATAATAGCAAACCAAAGTACATGAAACATACACACAGCAAACACAACATCTTTAAATGCACCTGTTGGTGATCTAATGCTTCCTTTATTTAGTTGTTTGTTTGTATGAGATAGGATCTTAATATGCAGCTATGGCTGTCCTGCAACTCCCTATGTAGACGATACTGGCCTAGAACTCACAGAGATCCATCTGTCTCTGCCTCCCTCATGCTGAGAAGATGTGTTTGTTTTGATTTGATGTGTATGAGTGTTTGCTTATGAGTATGTATGTGCACCACTTGTGTGCCTGGTGCCCACAGAGGCCAGAAGACTTCAGTTCCCCTGTATCCTTGGAGTTACAGGTGATTGTGAGTCACCACGTAGGTGCTGGAAACTGAACCTGGGTCCTCCCCAAGAGCAGCCAGTGCTCTTAACCTTTGAGCCATCTCTCCAGTCCCATTTTTACATAAGTCAGTAAGGATGTTCTATGACTCAAAGGCAAAAAACTCAAGGAGACTTGAAATACGTTTATGCTTGCAGCTTCTGCTGTAGCCTGGGTAGAAGTTCAGGAGTGGAGTGCTGGAGAATTTATTCAGGCATCTGGTTGAAGATGCTTCCAAGGAAAAGTCTCAAAATCTTTGCTTGCTGATGGGATTAGTCTAGAAGCACTTTCTTTGGTTTTCCATATTTACCACTTCACAGAAAAAGGTCTCTTATCTTTCAACACAGATTGAATCCTGATCCTAAAACAGGCAGGAACTTACATAACACAAGAATGTCTTGAAGGAGAACCTCTAATAAGCCCTTCCTTAGCAGAAACAACAGCGACTCTGTGGTACCTGAAATGTTTCCTGTTGAGGAGGGGATATGGATCCGGCTACCTCAGAGAAAAAAACTTAGCTGGGGAAAAAAATTACCCAAATCCAGATGTTTTAATTCAATGAGAGAATATCAATGAAAGTTAATACCAGAATTCAGGATTAATGTTTAAAATTAAAATTAGCATTTATTTTCTAAAATTTTTTAACTCTTATTTTTATTTTATGTGTATGGGTCTTTTGTCTACATGTACGTCCACACTTCTTGTGCATGCAGTGCCCATCAAGGCCAGAGGTCAGCAGATCTCCCCTTCTCCCTGTAAATTGGAGCCAGCTGTTGGATGCCATGTGGGTACAGGGACTTGAACCTGGTTTGTCTGGTAGAGCGACCAGTGCTCTTAATCACTGAGCCATATCTCCAGCCCCCAATGTTTACAATTTTTAATGGAGCTTTGAAGAGGAAAAGAAAGCCAGTATCACTAAAAACATGCCCGAAGGGATCATCAAAGGCAACAAACAATAAGAGGATGCAGAAAGCACGTGTCATTAAGATATGCTACGGGTTATTTTGTTTTGCTTTTATTTTCTTCTTCTTTTTGGATACAGACTCTGTTGTAGCCCGGTCTGGTCTTGGTTTCCCTATGTTGCCAAGACTGTCCTTGAACTCCTGAACCCTTATGAAGCCTGGCTAAGATAAGTTAAAAGTTTGAAATGCCTTGGCCAATTTAATATTTAATGGCACCAACTGGAGTCTCAGAAAGAGAGATGTTTCTATTGCTAGTCACTGTAAAATACAGTTCTAACTGCAGGCAGGATTATAGGCTCAGAAGGGCTGTCGTGGCAGAGGGGTCAGGTGACCTGGGTTGTGACGATTTTGAATGAGAGGAAAAGAACAGTTCAAAGCACGCCTGTGAAGTCTTCTAGCTGGGGTAATGCCCAGGGACTGCCATCGTGGAGATTAGAGTTCCTGCAACAGCAAGCTGGGGGTGGGGGTGGGGGATGCCAGGCTGCGGCCGGCACCAGGAGAGCCTGCCATTTGAATTTCAAAATGGTTAGTGGTTGCAGTGACAGCCAGAGTGCGGTGGGGATAAAAAACATCTATTGTAGTGCATTAGAGTTCTCCAAAAAAACGTTTTATATCATTTAAAGATAGTGTGTCATGTTTCTGCATGAGTACAAGTCAAAAACTTCACAAAAATATAGTGAATAAATGAACCGCATCATTGGGGCCTGATAGCCATACCTGTGCTTACAACATTGGAAATTATATTCTATAGTAGAAAGGGGTTTCCAGCTTTTCAATAGTAAATAACAGAGCTGGAATCCTAAAGGCCATACAACCAGATTTCTAAATAACAGAGCCGGGATCTTAGAGGCCACACGACCAGACCTCTTTGAAGTTCAACACTTTGAAAAATGCTAGGAGTCCTAATTCAAAGGAACATATGTTCTATTACTTATTCAACATTTTTAACTAAAATAGAGCAGTTCTTTGAAAGCCCGTTATCTATCTACATTTAACACAGTGGCTAGTTGTGTTTTTCAACTAGAGAGAGGCACAACTTTGCCAGATCTTTTCTGAATTGGGGGGGATGTGTGACTGGATGTGCGTGTGACAAGAACCTGCGTTCTCCTGTGGCTTCTACAAACAGCACAGTTGAAGGTGGAAATCTTGCCATTTGGAAGAAACCCACACAGCTGAAACAAAATGCAGCTGTAGGCCTCCACTGGAGGATCACTCGAAATCAAATGAGTAAGACTGTTGGAGAATATTATCTCAAGGCGTCTTACTTTCGTTTATGCAGAATTCCACCTCAACCTTTGATTCTTGAGTTCTTTAGAGGGAGAGAGGTTTAGTTAAGTTCCCTTCGTAGCTTTGCAAGGGTTGGAGCTGGCAGGGTTGCAGTTGCTGATTCAGACAACTGTGGCTTAAAAGGCAGCAGCCATTTCAAAAAAGGACAAGAAAAGCCAGTGTTCCTTTTGCCTAACCAAAAAGTTTCAACCAGATGTCTGGCCTTGGCAAAAGAATTTACTGTTTCCAGTGAACTACTTGCAAGATCTTATTGGCTGAGTGGCTAATCTCATGATTTTGTACATAATTTTACAAATCTTATCTCTCATTAGATTAGTTAAAACAATATGAATACAGTTTGCCCCTGAAGGCTGAAATTCTAGGCAAGGGCTGCGGTTTACCTGTGTTAGCCCCCCACCTCCCTTTCTTAAGGTTTCTCTGCTTTTTTCATCTTAAAGCTAGCCAAAGTCCTCTGTTCGGCTTCCGGGAGGGCGGAGCTTCATTGTGTGTCCTTTGGAGGTTGCCTCTGGAGCACAGTTGAAGGCATCAGCTGGTAAGCTACTGGGGTTTTGACAGAACATTCCACAAGAATGGAACTTTAAACAACCTCCTGAGAGATTTATTAATCACACTCTTACATTACTGTCAGGACATTAGGAATACAATAAAACATGCTGAAAGAGAAAAGTTTCAGAAGATGAGATAATTGTAAATGATATTTTGAATAAAACACTTATTATTACAGGGATGCAGATATAACTCCACTGGTAGAGTGCTTATCTAGCATGTAAAAACCCTAGGTTTGATTCCCCAGTACCATATATGTTAGGAATGGTGGTTCACGCCTATAATCTTAACATTTGGGAGGTAGAGGCAGTGAGTTCAGGAGTTCAAGGTCATCCTCAGTTATATAGTGACTCTGAGGCCAGCCTGGTGTATATGAAACCCTGTTTCAGAAACAGAAGTAGATAAATATGGTATGTGTACACACACACATACACATATATTAATACAGAATATATCTCTCTCTTTTTTTTTTAAAGGTTTATTTATTATACAGTGTTCTGTCTCCACATATCCCTGCAGGCCAGAAGAGGGCGCCAGATCTCATTACAGATGGTTTTCAGCCACCATGTGGTTGCTGGGAATTGAACTCAGGACCTTTGGAAGAGCAAGCAGTGCTCTTAACCTCTGAGCCATCTCTCCAGCCCCAGAATATATCTCTTTAAAATGTAATGCTTAATAAAGTCTTCTAGGCAGAACAACTGAATGTGTCTGATTAGCTTTAATTCTTGGTTGACACCATGATACAGTCACGCCAACATGTGACTAGTCCATTTATTAGGTGCTCTGAGAAGAGTTCTCACAGGTGTACGGCTTCCATGGAAGAGCTGCTTTGTGAGCTGGCTTGCTCTACGTGACGTTTATTTTCCAGTGCCATCAGCTATTACACAAAAATGTTGGTTGACATTTGATAAGCACATTTCCATCTTGCCTAAAGTTGCTTCTGTGTTCCAGCAAGCTTATCAGAAGGTGCTTCATGTTTTCATTTTTATTCTGTTATTTATTTATTTTCTGGGGAAGGGTGCAGGCCTCAGGGCTCAAGTGGAAGCAGAGACAACTTGAAGGAGCTGGTTCTCTCCTTCCCTTGTGGGGGTCCTGGGAATCAAACTCAGGCCTCTAGGCTTGGTGGCAAGCTCCTTTTCTAGCCTGGCCTCCTGTCTGGCCTGCATGTGTCTTTCATTCAGACCTCCAATGCCCACTGAAATTCTATTTGAACAATGTCTCAAGGGAGTTAGGAAAATGCTGTAAGGTATGAGGATTCTATGGGTTACATGTGCTGTTGTCAATCCCAAAAATTAAGAAATGAAGGAAAATGAAGGAAAGTGGGACTGGAGAGGTGACTAGTCGGAGAGCCAAGTTCAACTTCCAGCCCCAACTTAGTGACTCACTAGTGTCTGTAACTGAGTTCCAAGAGATCTGTGCCCTCTTCTGAGGCAGGCAAATGGTACACAAACATACAAACAGACAAAGCAACCATATACATAAAATAAAAATAAATTAAAACTGGTTGGGAGCTCCACCTCACATAGCTCCTCCCCAAACCCGCCCCTTCAGAGCCTGCCAAACACAGCTCCTCCCCCAGAGAGGCTCAGGATGACTCCCACAGGGATATATAAGCAGCATCCCTGAAAACAGACACGTGGTTCTTCTGGTCTCCTGTCTCTGTCTCCTCGATGTTGGGCTGGGGAATCACCTAGGAACACTTTACCTATTAAACCTGGGCTTTGACAATTTGGTCTGGTTCGGTTTGTTGCAATGGCAGAGAGGCCTTCAGTAGGCCTAAAACTTATCAAAAACAACTTTAAACAATGGAGGACAGTATTTCCAAGCATCCACTTAGCAGTGTGGGTGAGTCACCTGAGTCGGAGCCGCCGCCGCCCCTTCACTCACTGCTTCAGTCACTTTCTGTCTCTGTGCCCTGATGTTCTTTTCTCTCCTGCAAATTAGATAGCAACAGACCCTACTCCAGGGTCTGTGAAAATCATAAATCAGTGTTTGTAAAGCACATAATGTAGCCCCAGGCATACAATACATAATATGTAATTATATAAAGCATACAGTATATAAAGAATAAGGGGGAGAATTCTCATGCCTCATGCTTTAGGGAGTGAATAAAAATCACTTTTGAAATAAGATGAATATTACCTACCAAAGTTGGACTCATACATACCCTGTGATTTAGCAAACTCACAAATACATATTTAAAGAAAAGGGGTCCTGACAAGTTTGTTTCGAGCAGGTGAAAGTTAGAAATGACCTGCATGTCCACCTGCAGCAGGATAGATGATGGGTCACACATATCTCCATTGGTGCTCTTCAGCAATGGAATAGTGAACCACAGCTCAGGTAGTATGGCCAAACCTTACAACAACGAGCAAAGGACAGTGTGTACAGTGTGAGCACACTTGTGTCAGTGAAAAACCAGAAGAAAGACAAGCCACAATACACAAACGTATAAGGGAAAATAAACAATTGCCACAAATTCAAGCTCCTTATTCCCACAGTCACTGTGGAGGAGGCACAGTAAGTGAGTGTGTGTGTGTGTGTGTGTGTGTGTGTGTGTGTGTGTGTGTATGCAAGAGCATGTGTGTGTGCACATGAGTGAGTGGGTGTGTGTGCACTCGCATGTGCATGCGTGTGAGTGGATATGTGAGAGTATGTGTGTGCACATGAGTGCATGGGTGTGTATCTGTGTGAGTGTATATACATGCAGCGTGGGATAATCCCTGATGGTGCTCTGCTTTTTACCTAGAAACTTTTAGATGTTTATTTTTTTAATTATGTGCTAAACTATATGCAGGCATTTTCTGTACTTTCCTTGTATGTGTGTAGTGTTTCACAACGAGAAAGTTCTTTCCATTTATTGAAAACAGATTATTTTCTCATACAGTATACCCTGATTACAGTTTCCCCTTCCTCTACTCCTTCCAGTTCCTCCCTACCTCCCCTCCCCTTTGGATCCATTCTCCTTCTGTATTTCACTAGGAAATAACAGGCTTCTAAGAGAATAAGAACCCAACATGACACAATAAAATATAATAGCATAATGCAAAAACCATCACATGGAGCCTGGAAAGGCAACCCAGCAGGAGGAAAGGGTCCCAAGAGCAGGCCTGAGAATCAGAGACCCCCTTGTTTTCGCAGTCAGGAGTCCCATGAAAGCACGAAGTGCAGCCTGTGCTTGCTGCCCCAGTCTCTGTGAGCTCATATGCACCTGGCTCTGTTGATTCGGAGGGCCTTGTGCTCCTAATGTCCTCCATGCCCTGCGGCTCTCGCACTCTGTTTGCCTCTTCTTCTTAAGGTTCCCTGTGTTCGTTCCCATCTGCTACAGGAGGAAGCTCGTCTGATGATGACTGAACAACACATTGGTCTATGAGTGTAGTGGAATATCATTAGGAGTCATTTTATTTATACCTTTTTTTTAAACCGGTGGTGTTTGGTTTTACCATAGGCCTCCAGGCTGTCTAGTGTCTGGTTCTTGGTTACACCAGTGCCAGGTGTGGGTCCATCTCATGGAGTGGCCTTAAGTCAAATCAGACATTGTTTGGTGACTCCCACAAGCTTTGTGCCACCATTGCTTGAGCTTATCTAGCAGAAAGGACAGAACATAGGTCAAAAGATTTTTGGTTGGGTTGGTTTTTACATTTCTCTTTTGGTAGCCTGCACAGTATCTTCCCACACCAAAGAGCTAGAACATAGGAATGAGAGCTCCATATAGGCACCAGCTCAATTTCTCCATGTTCAATGACTTGTGTGGGTATTGTCCTTGGCAATGCCCCCCCACCTGTCAGATTTTGGAGAGAAACCCACTGTGTTATTGTTATCAACAGTCTAGGTTGTTTGGGGATTTCCATGGGACCCCCTCTACCCAACAACTCAATTGAAAGCAACCTAATTCTGCTACTGGAAGCCATGTTTGGTGACAAGAAATGGCCAGTTGGGACTCTGTATCCTTCAGTAAGAGACCTCATTAGGATCACCTTCATATATTTTAGGAAGTTTCCACTGCACTAAGTTTCCTCATCATCCCCCAAGCACCCCTCAATTCCAGCTGTCTCTCCTGGCATTCCCTCCCTCAATCCTACCTCCCCTCCTCCTCCCCATCTGATCCTCTCATTCCCCCCTGCCCCCAGTCTACCCATAAAATCTATTCTATTTCCTCCTCCCAGGGAGATCCAAGTCTCCCCCTCTCCCCACCCCCAGTCCCTTCCTCTATCTAACCTCTTTGGGTCTATGGATTGTATGTTGGTTATCATTTATTTAATGGCTAATATCCATATATAAGTGAATAAGCACCATATTTATCATTCTACATCTGGGTTACCTCTCTCAGGATGACTTTTTTCTAGTTCCATCTATTTGTCTGCAAATTTCATGATGTCATTTCTTTTAACAGCTAAGTAATACTCCATTGTGTAAATGTATCACACACACTTTCTTTATCCATTCTTCTCTTGAGGGATAGCTAGGTTGTTTCCAGTTTCTGGCTATTATGAATAAAGTAGTAGTGAATATGGTTGAGCAAGTGTCCTCATAAAACATAAAAGATGAAACATAAAAGTGGTATAGCTGGATCTTGAGGTAGATTGATTACCAACAGCTATAAACAAATTGTTTTTTCACAGACTTAACACACAGATAACATCCTATCATGCTGCATGTTCTGATGCCAGCTGGTTTGAATTGCCTGTGAGGTGTACTGGGAAGAAAGCTCATGTGCTTGCTCTCTCCTTAGTTCGCAATACTTCCTCACTTCAAAAGTGAATAATCTTAGTCAAAACTAATCCATCAAACACGGTGGCACATACCATTAATCCTGGCACTCAGGAGGCTGAGGCAGGAGGATTGTCATGAGTCTGAGGTCAGCCTGGGACACAAACAAACACAACAAAACAAACAAACAAACAAAAAAAGGCAAAAATTCCCATGAATCCATAAATGTTTACACTTCCAAAAACATTAAATAGATTAGCTTTTACTTTTGAACAGCCATTTTTGAAGAATAAGGAAGAAAATCTGCCACCTTTATTAGAGCTTTCTTTTAAGATCACACAAAAAGTTGTATTTTATTATTGAAGCATGGTCTAGAAAATGCCATAGTGCAGCAGAACCCAGTAAACATCCCAAAGTGGAAAGTGTTAAAGACATCAGCTTTCAGTGTAGCCTGCAACTTCCCACACTGCTGTTCCAACACTTGTGACTCTGGGTTCAGCAACTTTCTGTGCATATTTTGAAGGTCTTTGCTGACAAAGGAATGCAGGGTTGTTTTTTCCCCCATTTGTATTCAATGTATTATTTCAGATATTTTTATCTTGGCAAGAAGAAAACTATTTCCCCAGTGGTATGTTGCCTTCTGACTTTCATTTTTAAGGAAGCTCTAAAGAGCCCTTTTTAGCATTTACATGGAAGTATTGGTTTGAATGTACGATAGTTACAAATGCTCGAAACAGTCTTGGATCTTGCCTTTATGTTTGCACATTAGTTTTTAAATGATTAGTTAAATACGAGCAATCAGAATATCATTATTAATTTTAACATATACTTAGGGTGAAGTAAATGTCAGCACAAGTGGGCGTAGGTCCGTCGAGATGGCTTAGTGGATAACGGGGCTTGCTGTCGACCTTCATAGACTGAGTTTGACCTCCCAGGAGGGCGGGAATTGACTCCTGCAAGCTGTCCTCTGACTTCCACATGTGGCATGCATGTTGGCTTACCTTTTCAAATAAATAAATAAATAAATGACTGTAATTGTTTAATATAAATTCATACTTAAAACAGTATTCTCTAAGAACATTTACTATGGTCAGTTTTTTTTCAGATCTTAGTAGTTATAATTTTTTAATTTATAACTTTCATTTACTCTCTCTCTCTCTCTCTCTCTCTCTCTCTCTCTCTCACACACACACACACACACACACACACACACACACACACACACACACACACACTTGGCAGAGGAGGAGGCCGTTCTGTCCTCCCACCAGGTGTACCCTGGTTGGAACTAAGGTTGTCAGTCTTGGTGGGAAGGGCTTCTGGTTGCTGAGTCATCTCCCTGGCCTTTTTTTGTTTTTAACCTCACTGTGTGTGCCTCTCAACATGTGAGAAATGTTACCCTGAGCTGGGTACGGTGGCACACACTTTTTTTTAAAAAAATTAATTTATTGCACTTTTTTTAAAAAAGCTTTATTTATTTATTTATTATGTATACAGCCTACATGCCAGAAGAGGGCACCAGATTTCATTATAGATGGTTGTGAGCCACCATGTGGTTGTTGGAAATTGAACTCAGGACCTTTGGAAGAGCAGCCAGTGCTCTTATCCTCCAAGCCATCTCTCCACACCTTTAATGTCAGCATTTGGAGGGCAGAAGCGCGTGGATCTCTGAGTTCAAGGCCAGCTTGGTTTACAGAGTGTTCCAGGACAGCCAGGGTTACACAGAGAACGCATGTATGGGGAGTTGGGGGGACTATGTCAATTGTGTTAGGGTTTGTTCTTCCTGGTTTTTGTTTTTGTGTACTAAACCACTTGTAACCCCCTTAACTAGATACTGAAGCTGTCAAGTGCCTTCCTTGCCTACTTGTCCTGCCCTTGCCTTACAACAGTCCCCACACCCGCACCCTGCTCACTGAAGGATCAAGCAGGTGCCAGTACCTATCCCTTACTCAATATTAGTGCAGCTTAACTCCTCTCCTTTAGAAGAGTGTGTACAAACATTTATTTGTGAACAGAACTCTATTTGATGAAAATGGACAGAAAGCTGCAGTATTTAAGGAGACGGCAATGAGATTGATTGCTCTGATGCACTTTGGTAAGACAGCTCAGCTAACACCTCAGTTCACCCGGCCTCCTGAGGCTCCAGCACAAACCCAGCAAACCCCAAACACAATGGAAAACCTCTGTGCCAAGTCCAGCTCTCCGAACCTGCCATATAACACTTGCTTCCCCTCTACACACTTGGGTACCAGCTTGCTTTCAAGAAACTCCCCAACCTTACATGATATTTACAACCGGGGGGGGGGGGGGGGGGGGGGCTGTCACCAGCTCCCTGAGCTGTCCCACATATAATCCGTTACATCTCATTCTCAAATGAAGATTTCTAACAGAGCACATGCAGAAGGAGGACATCTCAGCCATTGTGAAAGAAAGATACATTGTTTGGGATGGGAGCCCTTCCTGTGTGTTCCCCAGTGGCCTTAAAGTTGGGGATACATCTTAGTCTAATGTGTTGCAACTTGTTTCAATTCATTCTTGAAAGGTCATATTTTTAAAAGGTACTAATTTAAAAAAACTACAAACACATACACTAAATAAAAATTTTAAGTAAAAAAGAAATAACAACCAAAAAATGATCTTAATATAATTACAGGAAGTATCTTTAAGATGTCAGGAAATAGACCATCTGTGACATTCTTTTAGCCAAGACAAATAACAGTAGCTACTGTAGCAATTGACCTCAAAATATCTGGCTAAACTCAAGAAAGATCTATTTCTCCCTCATACCGCAGTACAGTGCATGCTGTGAAGAGACTCTGTCTCAAGCGCCACACTGTGGTGCCAAGGTCTTCAGACTCGTGGCTTCAAGGTTAAACTAGCTTCAGCACGTTGGCAGTGTGTGTGTATCTTTAAAGTAAGTTTTCATTGTTTTGTATTTAAGATATTTTACTTAATATTCAAACATGCATATGTGTTTGGATCAAATCTGCCCCCCTTCCCCTCGAGTGCCTCTTCCCCTCCCCACTTCCTGTTATTCTCCCCTCATACGTACTGAGTCCACTTACTGTTGACTGTATGTGTGGGACCATCTGCTGGAACTTGGGTAGCCTCTCAGGGCCCACATCCCTGAAGAAAACTGACTCTCTCTCCCCCAGCAGCCATCAACTGCCAATAGTTCCTTAGGCACGGGTGGTACTTCCTGAGCCCCTCACCCATGCTGAGATTTTCACTAGCTTGATCTTGTGTAAGTCTTGTGCGTGCAGTCCTAGCCACTACGAGTTCATGTGTAAAACTGTTGTGCTGTCACATCTGACAAACACGGTTTTGCTACTGACATCTACTTCCTCTCTCTTACCGTCTTTCTAACTCCATTTCTATGATGATCCCTGAATTTGGGGTGAAGGAGTGAGATACAGATGTCCCATTTGGAGCTGAGCATTCTATGGTTCTCTCCCAACTCCCAGTTCCTGAATAACCGCTCAGAGGTTTATATTGTAAATGTTGGGCCTATAGTTCAGGTTTATTACTATCTAGCGCTTACATTTAAATCAACTCATTTTTATTAATCTATGCATTGCTACATGGCCTGTGGTTTACCAATTTCCTGGCATCTTGTTCCTTGGAAAGCTGGATCGTGTTTCTCTCCACTATGCCCTTCCTTCTCCCTGTATCTCTGGCTTTCCCGCCCAGCCTTATTCTGCCTGGTTACAGGCCAAAATAGCTGGATCAACCAATAAGAGCCGCATGTATTCACAGCATACAGAAAGATCACCCCACAGCATCTTAGCCTCTGCATGTTGATCTGTTGTGAGTCTCTGTGTTGTCATCTACTGTAAAAAGAAGGCTCTCTGGTGAGGGTTGAGAGATATACTGATCTATGGGTATAAAGATAAGAACTAAGGGGAAATTTGTCACCATGTCCATTTAGCAGAATAACAGTACTGTGTTCTCCTCAAGGGCCTATGACCTAGCCAACCACCAGCTTTGGCCTTGTTAATGGTACCAGGGATTGGCTCCATCTTGTATAAAGGGCTTCCAAACCCATCAGAAAGTAGCTCGTTACTCTCAACACATTCATGCCACTATTTTCCTGGGGGACATATTCCTCAGGCCAGTCATTATTGTAGCTCACTGGGTCCACAGGTGGTTAAGATAGTTGATAACCTTTCTCTCCCAGTAGTGTGCATAGACCTTTCCAGCGTCATGAAAGCTGCCCTGTGGGAACGAAACTTCTGAGGTAGTACTAGCTTAGCTTCTCCATATTCATGACGCAGGTGCGTTGGTGTCTTTAGAAATAGGGTCTTATCATCAAGTTTTGGATGGTAACTAAGAGTAATGGCCACAGCCTACAATGCTTGGGGAGGTCTATGGTAACCCACTGACCAACAACTCAAAAAGAGGTAACCCATACCTGACACTGGAATTTCTATTCAATAGCCTATGGTGTCTGGGGGAGGTGCTCCCCTTTACAGGGACATACCTTTTTATTTTATTTTAATTTTTGTTTTGTTTTTTTCAAGACAGGGTTTCTTAGTGTAGCCTTGGCTGTCCTGGAACTTGCTCTGTAGACCAGACTTGCCTTGAACTAACAGAGATCCACCTGCCTCTGTCTCCCAAGTGCTGAGATTAAAGGCGTGGGCCACCACCACTCAGCGAGCATACCTTTTCTTAAATGCTCATCAGGATTATATGCCATTGGCGAGAAAGGATCACACAGCTGAACATATATAGAAAAAGTTTAGAAAATCAATTATTTCTCCTGGAAGTGAAAATGGGTTTGGTGAGCATCTAGCGGTCATGTCCCATGGAGAGAAGGATGTTACTGCAGCTGTTAGGGACAAGGCCTGGGCCCTGGCAGTGCTAACAGCCTCAGAAACCAGTCCCCAGGAGGCCAAGTAGACAGACACATCATGCTGGAAAGCAGAGAAAGAAAAATAAGGAAAGAGGTCCAGTGACTCTCCAGGTGCATCTTCAGGGCCCAGACACAGAAGGCAAGGGGTATATGCACCTGGACAGTGTGGTCCCCTCCCCCATAAGCATCATCTCAGTTCCAGTTTCTCTTGGAAGCTTGACCCAAGGCTGTCTGAACTCTCGAAATCTCTTCCTGGTGACAAGTTCCTTATTTAGCCAGCATTTTACCCTTTCCTGCTCCCAGTAAGATCCCTGAGAGAAATTCTTTGCCAAAGGGAAGGGTACAAGTATCTCTTTAGAATTGTCTTCACTCCGGCAGGACACTTCCTTGGAGAGGCGGGCTTAACTAGAGATGCCCAGCCTGTAGCCAGAGTGTCACCGCGTCTGACCTCACCAATCTATTTTCTCTCGGCCTTGGTATTGGAACCTGCATGTAGCATTCACTTCATCTCTTGCTATTGGAACCACTGCCATGCGTGTTTCCATGCCTCTGACTTGCATGAGCTTCCAACCTCTTCCTCCAAATCTGCCCAACCTTTGCTTGTCTTTTGAGATGTTGTTTACTTCTCTGTGGACCCCCCTATGATCCATAGCACAGAACTAGACGTTCAGTGAACTTTTATTCCCACACTTTGTATGTGCTGCTGTTAACTACCGAGCACACTAGCTTATGTCAGAATTATCAAGGAACCAATGTATTTCCAAAAATATTGAGTATATTATGTGGGGAATGCATGTATTGAGAGTCTAGGAGACACTGACAGACTTAGCTTCTCAAGAGCATAGAGTAAACCCTGTGTCTCTTACTATCTCCCGTGTCTACCTATCCTGATTAAAATGCTCCCAACTGGAGGAGGAAAGGATGCTCTCTCCCTTCTGCCACTTCCCAGCCATATCTGGTATCTTTTTTGTGTGTTCTTATGCACTTTGTATCGTGCTTTAAGTAACAACAGAAAATTTACCATCTTAATCATGTTTTAGTGATTGGTACAAACCATATTAGCTATGCGTGCTTTGGTGTACATGTGATTTCTATATCTTTTTCATCTTCCAAAACTGAAACTCTATACCCATGAATAACACTACTTCCCTGCCCCAGCTCCAGAGCTCTGTCCTACTTCCTATCCCTAAGACCTTGGCTACTTCAGGTAACATATAAGTGGAATGATATGATACTCATTCTTTCACATTGGCTTCTTTCATGGAGCATGATGTCCTCAAGGCTCACCCATGGTGTAAGATATGACCAGTTTATTTTCATTTACAAAAGTCAGTTCATAATTCATTAAACAGCTATGGTCTCAGCTACTCTGGAAATTTGATATAGGAAGACTGCTTAGTAACCCTACAGTTCTAGACCAGCCTGGACAATATAGTGAGAAACCAACTTTTACAAGGTTCTTCGCATTTTCTTTACCTGTTTCTCCACTCTGGTGTCTTCTTTGTGTTTGACTGGTGGGACACTGGAGGGGAATGGTGAGAAAAATATGTTTTCTGTTGATCCAAGAGGAGATGTGACACAGCACATTGGAATCCTTCAGGATGGTTATTTCCAGGGACTAAAAGAAATTGTGCTTGGGTACAAAGGGAACTTGTTATTTATTTGAGACAGGGTTTCACTATGTAACTCTGGAGCTTACTTACTATGTAGACCACATAGGTTTTTGCTTTGTTTTGTTTTTACCAGTGACCTTCTGAGCCTATATGACTAATTACAGCTATTTGGGAGGCTGAGGGGGGAAGACTAAAAGTTAGAAACTTACCTGGGCAACACAGGCAGAGCTATCTCAAGGAGCAAAAAGGAATAAGTAAACAAAGTACATAGAGAATGTCTCCTGTCCTGCGGTACTTATGGGCAAGAAACTAATACACTGTTTCAGCTGAGCAATGCTGGTTCCTAATAAAAAGCCATCGACACTCCTGAGGCTGCTTACTTACCTCCATCTGCCCAGAAGCCTTTCAAACACAGCCTGTCTCCCAAAACAGGTCCACTGAGAAAAGAAAAAAAGCCCAATTTCAAAGCAGAGTAAATAACTAAAAGGATAAACAAGAGTCCTTTTAACAGTGTGTGAGAGATGCTTGGGAGATTTTTAATACTTACAGAGGAGCCCCTGAGTAACCCCTGGCCTGTCCTAGCATTAACAGTCTCTCGTGGTGTTTTATATTGGAGGTAGTCTGAGGCCCTTTAAGGGGGCATCCACAAGCTTTATTTCTGCGTGTCATCATGAAAGAATCTAAAGTATCCTTACATTAACATGATCCTTGTTTTTCAGTGAGCTATTATTAAATAATGCAACTGGAATGTGTGCTGAAAAGAAGAATCCAAGTAAACTGCTAAACTTTCTTTAAAACACACACACACACACACACACACACACACACACACACACACAAACACATTAAAAATCCCGACACTTCAAATTTCGAAATTTTTGTTAAAGTGTGCCAAATATAGCTTGCAATAGTAAATGACCTTTCTAAAGCGACATCCGCAAATTAATTGGTGCATGAACAAAGAACCTTTTCTGCAGCTTCATGAATGTTGCCTTTATTATTTTTTTTCTTCACAAGTAGGATTTTACAAAACAGCTGTAGGGCATGTTGACCACTGACAAAACGATAACACACTTTCGGTGAAGGCCAGCGTGGGCACGGGACCGCGGGATCCGCCAAGGGCTGCCCCCTGGCCGGGCTCTCCTCTGGTCCCCGGCGGGGGCCAGGCTGCCCCTCCCCCGCTCCCGGCTCGGGTTTCAGCCTTCCGAGTTCAGCAAACTTGCTGCAGGCGGATTGGCGGCGAGCAGCTCCCGGGCTCCGGCGTCGTCCCCGCGCCCACCGCTCCTTTGTGTCCCGCGGCCGCCGCCCGGGCTCTGGGGGGCCTCGGCGGGCAGCTCGCTCCCCTGCGCGGCGGACTCCCGGGGGGACACGTGCGGGGCCCGGTCACCGCGGGGCGGAGGCGGAGCCGGGGCGGAGGCGCGGCGACCAGGGGCGGCGACCGGGGATCCGCAGCGCTGCCCGCGCCCCCGCCGGCCGCTCGCTCCGGGCCCGCTCCGCTCTGCGTCGGCAGCGCCGCGGTGCAGGCGCGCGAGGCCCGCGGCCGGGGGATGAGCCGACTGCGGTGAGAGCGTCGCCCCGGCCCCCGCGAGGCCGCCCGCCGCCGTCTCCCCGCCGCGCTGCCAGCCGCGATCATGTACGTACGCGTCGCCGTCCTGCCGCGGTCCGGGTCCGGGACGTGCCACGCGCCCTGGCTGCGCCCACCCGCTCACCGCGCCCCTCTCGGCCCCGCAGGTCCATCCACATCGTGGCGCTGGGGAACGAGGGCGACACGTTCCACCAGGACAACCGGCCGTCGGGGCTCATCCGCACCTACCTAGGGAGAAGCCCGCTGGTTTCGGGGGACGAGAGCAGCTTGTTGCTGAACGCGGCCAGCACGGTCGCGCGCCCGGTGTTCACCGAGTACCAGACCAGTGCGTTCGGGAACGTCAAGCTGGTGGTGCACGACTGTCCCGTCTGGGTAAGGGGCAGCGGCTGCGCGGTGCCCAGGCCAAAGGAGCCTGTTGTTTGGACCCCTCCTCCCCTCATTTCCTATTTTCCTGACTGCCTGGCGAGAGGTTATTAATATCACTATTTTTTAAACATTTTTGGCAAATCTCGTCCTTTGTTTCAATTTGGAGGTGGTGGGGCAGCCCAGTCACAAAGCACGTCTGTAAGGGAGAAAGCCCCAGGGGAATGTCAGTTACTGTGCTTGACGACTGTGGCTTGTCCATAGTAGACAGCTGAGAGTTGGCTGTGCCATCCCCAAGGGACGGGGTCACAAAGTTCCACTGGCCAAGACTCATGTTTTCATGTCCACCCTGTGGAGCACAGGGAGATGTGTTATATAAATACCGCCCTTTACCGCTCACATAGGCAAAAATACTCTTCTCTGGGACAGAAATAGTATGGGAAAAGGGAGAGGACAGGGTTTGAGAACTAATTTTAAATGACTCATTTGTAGACTATTAACCTCTGGAAAAAATTATTTTTAGTGATGCAAATACTCATGTATTAGCCTTCGTTTTAGTGATTAATAAAACAGTAATACCACTAACATTACTTAGCACTTTGAAAAAAAACTTCATGTTTATGATAGTTGAATGAAAAATATCTATTCTGACTCTTGAGTGTTTGATAACAGGACAAAGGAGTCAGCTCCTTGACTTGCAGATGCCTGTGATTCCTTTGCTAATATTGTAGCTATATGTGTTTCATATATATATATATATATATATATATATATATATATATATGTATATATCTGAATGAAACTTTTGAATCTTAAAAAAGACACAAATTAGGTGAGATTCTTACATTAAAAAGACAGTTTTTTAAAAAGTATGCTACTGAGGGGAAATACCATACTTTTGAGCAGAAGTGTGCAGAACATACTGAGAAATTTTCTTGAGCGTATTGCCCTATTATGGAAAGAAGACGCTCTTTGACTGGAAATGTATATTACTGTGCTAAAATAAATTTTAAGTAGACTTTTCAATTAAAAGGATGGACTTAACCTTCAGGTATGACAGTGATGTTGGTGTCAAAGGAAGCCACTCGGGAGGACTTGTGGCTGCTGTCTGCAAGCACGGTTACTTTGGGCCCTTTTGTTGTGAAAGATCTTATAGCCTGAAAGTATTACTTGCTCAACATACTGTGGAACAAACCTTTAGTGGATTGATGAAATAAATACAGAGAAAATAAAATAAGATGACTTGGGATGTTGGAATTGTTTCTCTTGGTTTTAAGTTGAGCTGTTAACCCTTTCCTACCTGTGTTCATTTAGCAAAGAGCCACACATTTTATAAAAATAAAACAGAATCTTCAGAATGGGCGAAATAAGCTTTGTAGTCTTTCTGGCTGTTACAGCTTGTCAGGCGAGTCTCGTTTGTGTGCTCGCAGTCTGTGACACCTAATTTGTCACCAGGGACAGTGTCCCAGATTAGGACGAGTCTTCAGACAGTGAGTTACATATGGAGTTACTCACTCTGAGCTGCTGCTTTTCCCCCTTGAACCTAAGTAAATCCTGCCAGAAATAGGAAGGTTGGTTATAACTGTCAGCTGGCATTGGCCTATGTACTGAATCAGAATATCAAACGCGGCGCTTTTGACAACAAAAGGACGTGATTTCAGACCCCCATATTGCCACTATATGTTTTTGGTAACCTTTCACCTTCTCAGGCTTGTTTTCCTGTCTGTCCTGGAGCTGTGCTGAAGGGTAAAGTCCCCAGTGTGGAGGCTGTAGGTGCCCTGAAGTGATGGCTGCTGTATAAAGTGCTGTTATCACTGTAGTGTAGTCATATATCTCCTACGTTAAACATGGGAGAGTTTCTCACGTCAGTCAAGGTTGATGGCAATGCAGGGCCTTCAGTGTACACACTAATCAACAGGATGAAGTCCTTGTTTCCTTGTAGGAACTCAGATTTTTTTTTTAAAGATGAATTTGATTCTCCAGTGTGGCTCCAAGTTTGCTGTTGTGTAACACCCCAGTGGAATCCTGGAACTGACGTACGTGGGATGGGACGCATGGGTTTCCTCTGTGTTTCTAGAAATCAGTGAAGCATTTTCTCTGTGACAGCTTAAAAAGAAATGTGTCCCCGCTGCCTTGGGGTTGGAAGGAGCTGGGAGTGCTTCCCTTCCAGAGTTACTTTCTGTAGATTGCTAACCCTACTCTGGCTCCTTGCTGCCTCTTGTACTTGATGCTTTTTATGTAAATCGGCTTCTAATTCATTAGATGAAGTTCATAGCTTAGTTCTGCTACCTCTCTTTTTTGCAGTCATATTATTACTTAATTTCATATTTCTAGATTTTTATTTTTCTGTCTGTGAAAAGTATGTTCCAAAACAGGGTTAGCTGAGCCTCCTGGCTCATGCCTATAATCCCAGCACTTGGGCAGAGGATTGTGAGTTTGGGCCAGCCTGGGCTACATGAGAAGACCCTATCTCAAAAAACCTGGAAATGAATGAATGAATAAAAAATTAAACTGAGGTGGTATATTCATATTTTCTTGTACAGGGTTTGAATTTCTGGATTGTATTACAAATAAAAGTGTTTATAGTTGTTTTACCACAGAGTAAATCAATAAGACCCAAAGCCTCCTTTCCCCATGTTTTATCTCTCCAGTAACTCTGGAATTCTGAACTATTTGGAATGTGAAAAAGTGATTTCTAACTTGTTCTCTGGGCACTAAATGGCTGCTCGGTACTGGTCCAGTTTATAATTGGTTTTGAATCCCGCATGCCGGACTCGTCGGTTGCTGCTGCCACCCTTCTGTCCACACTGTGCTGCATTTGCATACTCTGAATCTGAATATTTACAGATACAGTTGGGACCGATGGGTTTTTGTCATTTGGGACTCCATGTCCTCACTTTTCCCCGCCCTTCCTCCCTCCCCTAATACTAGATCACAAACCACTTTCAGCCCTTTGCCTTTGGCACTGACGGTTCAGTTTGCCTCTCTATTATTCTGTTATTTTGAACTCCTTTCAAATATGCTGTATCCACTCTGTTTTTGATAATGCATCCCTATTTAAAAATTCTGCAATGCAGCTCTCATTCTGAATAAGTTTGCTGAGAGATGGGCAGGTGAGGGTATGGAGATGGGACAGGAGCTTCTCTCTACAAAAGGGCATTTCTGTCATGCGCTAGAAGCAGTGTCACATAGATCTTGCTTGATTGGCCGATTTGAACACTTTTAACCTTGTTTTGGACTCACATACCAAAGTGTAAACTTCCATAGCCCAACAGTTTTCTAGCCCTTGTGTTCCCTTACTCTAGCTTGATTATATCTTAGAAAAAAGCCACATGAAAGAAATGATTAATTATTAACTAGAATTTAAGAAGAAAACTATTTGTGCATACTTGGCAGTGAAATTAAGATGGCATTTTCTTTATAAACTATTTTCACAAAAACCTTGCAGAGAACTAAGTTCCATAATAAATTACATGTGATTCTAGTTCTAAATATGAATATTAACTACAGTCTTATAGTAAAAATTTCTGAACAGTTTTATCCTGAATTTTTAGTGTATGAGCTAAATACATCAATTGGTAACAGTCCTTTGCAGTTAACAGCTTGTAATGTACAATGTTATAGAGGCATATTTTTCCATGCTCAAATATGCACTATACAAATACAGTATAAAGTTAGAGATTATATGTGAATTTCTTCAAATGTGTATAAAATGAAAGGAATACTACAAACTTCACAGTGTATTGCAGTTCAGAACAGGCAAAAATCCTACAGTGTCTAACTGGGTCACAGAAAAGCTTCTGACATCTAATGCATAATGTTACACCTTTGAAGTTGCCAGTGACTAAAATCAGCATCATTTCAAAATAGAATAATTATTTAGGTACAGATGGTGGAAAGAGGTTGTTCATTTCATCAAACTCCAGAAGGCTTTAGGTAATGGGACTTACTAGTACATAGTTGTTTAGGGTAAATGAAGAAAAGGTGTTTTGAATAAATGGTCAAGCATCAGACATATTCAATTTTATGTAGCTACCCATTTGTCTTAGTTATTTTCCTATTGCTGTAAAGTTACTTTCCATTGCTTAGTTATTTTCCTATTACCATGACCAAAGCAATTTGTAAAGAAAATATTTCTTGGGGCTCACGGTTCCAGAGGGTGATCATCAGGTGGAAAATGTGGCAGAGTGTGGTGCTGGATCAGTAGCTAAGAGCTTACCTCTCATCCACAAGTACGAGGCAGAGAGAAGGATGACTGGGAACGGTGTTGCCTTTTGAAACCTCAAAGCCTGTCCCTCCTCCAACAACTCACCTCCTCCACCAAGGCCACACCTCCCAATCCTTCCCAAACAGTTCCACCAACTGGGGACCAAGCATTCAATCTCTATGGGGCCATTCTCATTTAAACCACCAGACCATTCAAAAATACATTTTCATAACTTCTCAAAACCAACATACACTAAACATTTAGACTGATATGTTATAACTGATCTGGAAATAGTTTGGGGATTGATTTGAAGATAAACAAACTAAAAGTTGATGTTTGCATTTTTGTTTAGGACATTTTTGACAGTGATTGGTACACCTCCCGAAACCTAATTGGGAGTGCTGACATCATTGTGATCAAATACAATGTAAATGACAAGTTTTCATTCCATGAAGTAAAGGATAATTATATTCCAGTGATTAAAAGAGCATCAAACTCAGTTCCAGTAATCATTGCTGCTGTTGGGACCAGACAAAATGGTAAGTACATGATTTTCTTCCTTATAATGAGCATGCAGGTACCATGTTTACAAAGCTACGTTTATTAATGATTAATTATTAACACAGTTTTATTTTTTGAAAGCCAAAAGGCCACGGGTTCAAATGCCAGCTGTCATTTCATTGTTCTGTGCAGTAATCGGACATCAGAGGAGAGGCTCACAAACTCCTGCTGTGATTTGGGTATAAATTTTCCTTCAGGTTGCTCTTCTGCTG